ATTTAATGACGTATCCATTAGAAACAACCAAAAAGTTACACAGTGCTGGGGCTGGGTATCACTCAGTAGTTGCCGATACGATACATACCTCGATACATTGAGCTTACGATTCGATACGATTCCATACGACAGGGCTTTCCAATAGGGGTGTGCAAAAATATTGACATATCGATATATCGTATCGTTTAAAGTGATGATACAGTATCAGTATCATGGGCTGCTGTATCGATATATCGCCATTTTTTTGTATATTTTACTAAATTATGTTGTTACAGCTACAGTTTTGTTGCCTGTTTAGAGAAAGGAAACTCTTTTATGTGACACATTTGATATTTTCACTGTTTTGATGATTAAAATGTTTGTGTTTTATATTCACTTTGCACAAAAAGTCGTTTAACAAAGACTTTTAGTATCACAGCCATGATTTAGTCTTTATTTTTATCAAACCATATCAAATCGATTTGAAATATAGCGTATCAAACTGAAAGTCCACTGTATCGTGATATGTATCGTATTGTGGCCTATGTATCGAGGTATGTATCGTATTGGCATCTTCTTAATGATACTTAGCCCTAGTCTCCAACCTTTTTTCTTCGGTGAGCTACCTTCACAAAACGAAAATACCAAAAATAACGCTACGAGTTTTAACGGTCACAAGAAATGGAGTATATTAAAGTGCCACGGTGAGCCTTAAATGAGGTACAGTTAGATGCTTATAAAACATAAACTATTATCCATTTATTAGTCAGGTATCAAAATGATACATGTGCAATAGTAATAGTAAGTTGGAGACCCCTGCTGTACGATATTTCAAATTGATTCAATGCGGTTCAATAAAAAATAATGTCTAAATCATGGCTGTGACACTAAAAATCTTTGTTACACCACTTCTTGTGCAAACTTTATAAGAAACACGCCCATTTTACTCATCAGAATGGTGAAAATGACAAATGTGTTACATAAACAAGTTTCCTTCGTCTAAACAAGCAACAGAACTGTAGCTCTGTGGCAAAATCATTTAGTAAAATAAACCAAAAAATGCTCTCTGCGATATATCGATACAGCAGCCCAGAATATCGATACTGTATCATCACATTGGGCGATATGATTTACGATGTTTCAATATTATTTCACACCCCTAGTTAGATGCATATAAAACATAAATCATTATCCATTTATTAGTCAGATATATAAAAAAAAATCATGTACAATGATAATAGACATTTAATCAGTCAAATTTTACTTATTCAGGACAATATGTGTGATTCAGAAATCATCTTGGTTGGAGTTGAAGACCCCTGCCTTACGATATATTTCAATTCGATTCGATACGATTCAATCAAAAATTATGTGTAAATCATGGCTGCGACACTAAAAATCTTTGTTCCACCACTTCTTTCTGCAAACTTTATAAGAAACATGCCCATTTTACTCATCAAAACGGTGAAAATGTCAAATGTGTTGCATAAATGAGTTTCCTTCGTCTAAATAAGCAACAAAACTGTAGCAGAGTAACAAAATAATTTCGTAAAATATGCCAAAAAATATTCAGCAGCCCACGATATCAATACTGTATCATCACATTAGGCGATGCAATTTACGATACTTCAATATTTTTGCACTCCCCTACACAATGCACCTTTTAAAATTCACTGCAACCAGATTCAACTTTCCTAATCTACTGCTTTGTAATTTTCCTTTTCTGTTGGATCCAGCTGTAAACTCTGAATTGGTTTTAGAGGAAACTATAGAAGTAACTGAACAGGTCTGACAGCCGCTGATTCATGTTGCAACAAAACTAAATCTTCAAACTGAATTTTCATACTAAGGAAGTGACTTTTATAGATTATCGTGTAGACTCACAGTGTTTAACAATTGTGAAACCGCAGAGATACTGAAAACATCTCGCACTTCTATTTTAAATGTGTTATAAATGTTTTTATCATGTGATTCTGGCGTCGGGTCAGTGCAGAGTTTTTACACAAGCCACCGGCACAACAGCTCCACTGTCTGTAGTATAATCCTTATTCTATAGTATTTTAATAATAATAAAAATAAATACATAATAATAATAATAATAATAAATCAGCAAGTACAACAACTACTACTACTACAACTGCAACTACTACAACTGCAACTGCAACTACTACAACTGCAACTACTACTACAACTGCAACTACTACAACTGCAACTACTACAACTGCAACTACTACAACTACAACTACTACAACTGCAACTACTACAACTGCAACTGCAACTACAACTACTACAACTGCAACTACTACAACTGCAACTACAACTACAATTGCAACTGCAACTACTACAACTGCAACTACTGCAACTGCAACTACTACAACTACTACAACTGCAACTACAACTACTACAATTGCAACTGCAAACTACAACAACTACTACAACTACAACTGCAACTACTACAACAACAACTACTACAACTGCAACTACAACTACTACAACTGCAACTGCAACTACTACTACAACTGCAACTGCAACTACTACAACAACTACAACTGCAACTGCAACTACAACTACTACAACTGCAACTACAACTACTACAACTGCAACTACAACTACAACTACTGCAACTACAACTACAACTACTACAACTGCAACTACTACTACAACTGCAACTACTACAACTGCAACTGCAACTACTACTACAATTGCAACTACAACTACTACAACTGCAACTACTGCAACTACTACAACTGCAACTACAACTACTACTACTACAACTGCAACTACTGCAACTACTACAACTGCAACTACAACTACTGCAACTGCAACTACTACAACTGCAACTGCAACTACTACAACTGCAACTACAACTACTGCAACTGCAACTTCTACAACTGCAACTACAACTACAACAGCAGCTACTACAACAACAACAACTACTACAACAACAACTACAACAACTACTACTACTACTACTACAACTACTACTACAACTACAACTACAACAACTACTACAACAACTACTACTACTACTACTACAACAACTACAACAACTACTACTACAACTACTACAACTACAACAACTACTACTACAACTACTACAACTGCAACTACAACAACTACTACAGCAACTACTACAACAACTACTACTACTACTACAACAACTACTACTACAACTACTACAACTACTACAACTGCAACTTTGAATAAATTAGAATATTTAGTTGAAGATCACTTAAAGATGCACCATGTAACTTTTTGGTTGAGGGTCCGTCACCTTGTTGTTTCTATGGATACGTCATTGCTCTGCCTGGAATGTTCCACAGTATGACATTAAACAGCTGTACCTTACATTTATTCAATTACAGCTGGTTTAATAGCTCAAAAATACCTCGAAAAGCAGACATTTTGACTGTGAGCGTGGCTGCCTCTCCACAGATCTGACCTGTAGCTTGGCAACTTTGGTCTCCATGGAGATAGAAAGGTTTAATACCAATACTGTGGAACATTCCAAACAAAGCAATAACATCTCCACGAAGAAAAGCATTTGACAAATCCTCCACCAGATAAATTTCACAATGAATGCACCTTAAAAGAAACAATTTTAAAAAATCTAAATCTTTCTCAGTGTGTAGATCTGAAAATGCTGTAATCCTAAATATAGGGCTGTGCGTCTGGTCCCGGGCTGCGGTCAGTTCTGTGGACATTTAACATTCCTCAGGATTTGCCTCGTCTGGACTCACCTCCTCCTCCTCCACTCAGGACCCCAGTGACCCTCCGCTACACCTGAATGCACCTTTTCATCCAAAACTCCCACATGACACAGAATTTACTCTTCTGACAAAAATTTAAACCACGTTATAATGCATTTTCCTCGTCAAAAACAGACCTGGAGTTGTGTTGTATTTTGTTTCATTCGCACACGTTTGAGTAACTCTTTTATTACGTCTGTCTGCATTTCCAAACCTCGTGACGTCATGTAGCGGTACTTTTCGAGTTAATTGCTACTTTCATTTTAGTTCAGAAGAGACGGGCAATTCCAGGACTGAAAACGTATTGAGTTTAAAACGTAAAAACACAGTGGAGCCCTTCCTATATCAAGAATTCTACCTAAAAATGCAGCGTTTGTCTGTTAAACATGCACAAATAATGAAACAAAACACAACTCCGGGTCTGTTTTTGACCAGGAAACAACATTACAACATGGATCACACATTAATAAGCGTAACATGGGCCTTTTTAATCAGTTTAAAACACGAACGCGCAGCACCACTTCCTGCTTGACCCTGTTTTCGAAGTGCATTATTAGTTATGCAACGGTAAAATTCTGTGCTGCTTGATAATCACTGATATGGGTCACTCCACTCAGACTGAACTGCTGGGGTTTGGAATTTGGTCCATAAGAAAACTGGAGCTCTGGGGGTTTATTTAAGTATTTAACGCACTTGTAAAGGCAGCAGATTTTGAAGTACACTATACTGCTGAAGAAAATATAGATAATTAACGATAATATAGAAACAAATTACCAAAAAACACAATTCTCTTCCAATAAAACCCTCTTTTATATGTAAACAAATGTGACAAATGAATAAAACACCAATATTTTCTTAATACTTATTCATAAAAGTTGTTTAATCAACCGTTAACAGCTCAAATTGTATCATAGTACACAAAAAATGAAAATAAAATAAAGTTCCCATGATAAATATGACCCTAAACAATAATAATGAAGTTCAGTCTTTCTCGTATTGAAGTGTGAGTCGGTCGTTATCGTCTTGACAGGTTCACACTTACATAGTTTTAATCAGTGTGTTTTTAGATTGACCTTTCATTGTTGAGGAGGAAATAAATTGTTTTCGTGTCTTAAACAGGAGTGTAAATCTATTTTAAGATCAAGGAAGTGTTGACTATCAATCGTGAACATTCTGGAAATTGCATGATGGTTAATAAAGGTGATTCGTAGGAGTGTCACTATATCCTGTTGAGATGTGTTGCAATAAAGTGACTTGTGTTTGTTTTTCCAGAACGTACTACTGGTATGACGAGAAGGGGAAGAAGACCAAGTGCACTGCTCCTCAATACGTCGACTTTGTAATGAGCGCCTGTCAGAAACTGGTCACAGATGAGGAAATCTTTCCCACTAAATATGGTAAGAGCCTCTCACTTCAGTACTGCAGTGTGGGGATTATTAAACCTTGGAACACTGCTGCCCTCTACTGGGTCATTTTGGTAACAGCAGTGAGGGAATTAAGCACAGGCTTTTGTGAATGTGAGAGCTTTTAAAAACAATTAAAGTAACTTTCCCCACTGGTTATTTTTGAGCCTGACTTCCTTTGATCATTTCTAACTGTGGCTGTTTCTGTTTCTCAGGTAAAGAGTTTCCAAACTCATTTGAGTCGTTGGTGAAGAAGATCTGCCGGTACCTGTTCCACGTGCTGGCTCACCTCTACTGGGCGCACTTTAAGGAGACAGTGGCTCTGGACCTGCAAGGCCACTTGAACACTCTGTACGCACATTTCATCGTTTTTGTAAGGGAATTCAACCTGGTCGACCCAAAGGAGACCTGTATCATGGACGACCTGTCTGAAATCCTGTGCAGCCCTTTGCCCCCGGCGCCCACACCAGCCCCCTCAGCCCCCGCCTCCGCCCCCTCCCCCTCTTCACAAAACCATGTGACAGAGAGATGAGCCCAGCTCTGCGCTTTTGATAGAGAACGAGAAGACAGTCTGGCCCAGCCTCTGGAGCCAGCAGGACTCAGACCTTCCCTTATATCTCGCTACGTCACCACGGCCCTCGCGCTGGGGTGGGCTTTTGAGGCTCGGGGCGGCAGGGAGGGGTTTGTCACGCCAGCAGGAAATGGCGTGAGCGTTCCTTCCAGGGGCAAATCCCTCCCATCTTCTCTGCAATCTAAACTAGGAACAAAAAATATGTGTATATTTTATTTTTGGTTTTGTTTCACTTTTTTGTTGAAGTTTTGCTCTTTATTTCTCAGTGGGGAGGTAGCCTCCCTGACTCCTCTACCTAACATACAGTGCAGGGAGCTCTGCTTGGCTAAGACCTACTATTGTACAGTTGTGTAGAGAGGAGCTTTCCCCTCGTCCTGCAGACTGATGGCCGCTGCGCTGGCCAATAGGGAGCCATGTTACTGCCTAATGGGGCAAAACTAGCCAATCACTGTTAAGGTTGTTTATCTGGAGATGATAAAGCGCTTTCTACTCAGGAACAGAACTGAGAAATGTCACTGCTGCCAGAGAGAGCTCATACGCCCTGTTTCATTCATGTTCTGACGTCACAATCCTCTGTAGTCTAATACAGTAGTACTAGTCCCTCTGTTAACTCAGCCCTGATGTAGAGCCCCTGAGCAGCCTGTAGAGGGCGACATAGACTGGAGAATGCTACACAGAGGTAGCAGAGCCAGAAAAGACAGTCTAAGATTGTGATTTAGTTATTTAATGTGAGAGTTGTTTATGAGAGCAGCTGAAGCACAGAAAGACAAGGACATGGTGATGTCTGCAGGCCGAAGGAGAGGTCAGCCACACTCACATCCTCCCAGTGCAAAAACACACACCCAGCCCATGTTTTTATGTGTCCAGATTTGTTTTAAAAAAGATTTTCAGAGAAGAATTAGTAGAGAAATAACAATAATGGTATCATCACATATAGAAGATGCACAGTCTGCTTGGACTTTACTGTACAAAGAATCTCCAGCGGGTTCTGTCAGCTATAGCCTCTGTATGGAGGGGAATTGGGTTTATATAATTCTCCTTTTATTTATTTTAATTTTGTTTTGCAGGGTTCTTCAGTTCTGGCTCTCGTTTTTATCTATTTTAATTATTAACTAAGTTAAAAGCAATTTAATATTTTAAGCTCTGCAAATTATAATCTAATAAAAGAGAGAAATTCCATTGTGTGTCTGTGTTTTTTTTAAACTAATAACTCTTTTTCACTGTGATGTTGTCTGTTGAGAGGTGGCACTGATTATTGTACCTAATTTGGGCATCGGTATTTTTTATTTTTATTTTTTTAATTAAGTCAATACGCAGTGACTACACCACAGTCTGACCTGTGCATATGAACGCACCAAACAGTCTCAGTAAAAAGAAAAAGAAAAAAAACTCCACACATTTAAAAGGCATGACATTTATTTATTCTGACGCATGCGCTGTGATTATGTAGAAAACATTCCAGCCTCATTGAACTATGACCCCTGAGAACACGTGCTGCTGTGCAAAAGCTACATCTACTCTGGCTTTACTCTCTGCAGTAATAAATATAAACATGATGTATTGTCTATTGTCTCGTCCTTAGCATTATTACCTATGCCGCGTGGTGCGTTCAAGGACTTTCTACCTTGGAGCGCCGTGAAGCGGCCCCTCGCCTCCTCCGTACTGACGCCCTGGGGGACAAACCCTCCGTGAGTCTAAACTGCATTATCCCTCCCACTTCATCCAGTTTCTTGGCGCTGCAGCAGGGGGTGGGCACTTTGACCGTGTTCCCAAACTTGGAGTAATCCACCGCGTACATGCCGTCCTCCTCAGACACTGTGGGCACGAAGCGCTGCCCCCACAGGATTTCTTCAGACAGATAGGACGTCCGGGCCTGAGTGGTGATTCCTGTGGTCTCCACGACTCCCTCGAGCACCACGATCACCTCCAGCTCCTCGTGCAGAAGGTCGCTCGCGGACAGTTCGTAGAGGGGACTGCTCTTTTCGATGACGTGGCAGATGATGAGGGGAGACACGAGGAAGATGCCATTGGTGCCCACGGGGTTGTCCATGTGGATATCAATCTGGTCCAGGGGCACCATCTCCCCTTCCGGCGTGCTCGTGCGCCGTACCACCTGCATGCGCACGGTGGCGCTGATGATCATGCTTTTGCGCAGGTCTCCGATGCGCATCATGAAGCACAGTTTGTTGTTACGCACGGAGATGACGGCGTGTTTGCTGAAGATGAGCGTCTCCGCGCGCCGGTTCGCCTGCGCGGTCTTCATGAAGATACAGCCAAGCATGATGGCGTTTATCACGAGCCCCACTATGTTCTGCACTATGAGGATGATGATGGCGGACAGGCACTCCTCTGTGACCATCCGACCCCCGAAACCTATAGTCACCTGAACCTCAATGGAGAACAGAAAGGCCGAGGAGAACGAGTGAATGTCCGTGACGCACGGCACAAAGGTATCGTCCTGTTGGTGTAAATCTCCGTGCGCAAAGGCCACGAGCCACCACACCATGCCAAATAGCAGCCAGCTGCACAGGAACGACATGGTGAAAATAATGAGCGTGTGGATCCATTTTAAGTCCACTAAAGTTGTGAAGACGTCCAAGAGGAATCGGCCCTGTTCCCGAATATTCGTGTGTGCAACGTTACACACCCCGTTTTTGGCCACGAACCGAGCTTTACGCGCCTTTGTCTTGAACTTGGGCTGCAGCACATCCTCGGCCAAACGGGTCAGCAGATAGTCCTCAGGAATAATTCCTTTCCGGGACAACATAGCGCTCCCATAGTACTCACGGTCCGACTGAAGCCCGGCTCTCCTCTAGCCCGAGGCAGCTGTCGGGCGCGCGTCCTGTCGCTTGCTTCTGGAGGTATGTGCGCTCCTCACGTTGCTCTAAAATCGGGCACTCCACGAGCGCTAAGTCCCATGAGAAGAGTCCCGTCCAGAGCGCCAGCTGCCCCCGTCACTCACGTCTGTGCGGGGCAAACTGTACCACATGCACCTGTCTCATTATCACTGCTATAATTTACCCTCTCTACACCTTAATGTTTCTAAAGCATTTATTCAGTTGTGTGTCATCTTCGGGTGAAGTGACATCCTTTGTGGCGCAGCTCGTCGCCGACTGTACGCGATCGTAACGTGAGCTGCCCCCGGCCCTCCCTTCCTCCCTCCGCGCCTCTCGCTCTTCTCCCCGCTCCCCTTCGCCTGCTTCAATGAGACTGCAGTGGTACAATAAGAGAACTGAGCCGTGGCTGTGTGGGCTCTTGTGCCGCTGCCCACACACAGCCACTGCGCAAATTATATAGGCTACAACGGACTAAATATAGTCCTCTACTAAACCGCAGTTAAACCATAACGAGGGACGCGTTTGTAAACCAAACCAGAGCGTCACACTCACCAGTGCACAACTACCAAAAGTGAAATTATGTTTAAAGAAAATCCACAGAAATATATTTATATTGTTTAATTTCTGCTGTCACTCTAGTCCGTGTTATTAGATCTTACCTGATTCCACCTACAGGGGGCGTGAGAACGTGCGTGAGCATGTGGGTAAATAGATGATTGTGAGGTCAGTGCATGTCGCCTTTTGTTGAGGAGAGAATTATGATGCAGAGCCGCCAGCAAGACTTTTCTTCTTCTTTTGTTGCAGGTAAATGTTGAGATTTCACATTTGGAAATTCCAGAGCTGAAATTATCCAACTGATTCTAGTGAAGGTATGTGGAGTTTAAAAACACAGTGGAGCACTTCCTGTGTTACTCATGACATCACAAGTGTTTAAGACAAAGTTAAAACCCAACTCCAGGTCTGTTTGCGATGAAGAAACAAGAAACAAGATTGTCACATAGAAGAGAAAACATCGTAGCCCTTTTTAATCACATTCTAAAACAAACACTGATTACTTCTTGAAGCAAATGCAGCACTTCAGTGATCATTTATATTTTATTAATAAAGACTTAACATTTGTATGTACAAATATAATACAACATGGTTAAAAAGTAAAAGAAATATATATTATATGTTCCATGGGACAATTGCACTTTGAATGTATTGGATTGAGCTCTTGGTCTTTTGTGCTACTTGTCAGCGCGCACGAAGGAGGCAAAGACGCTGTCCTCCCGCTCCAACAGGGCCTGGGGTTTGTCGTACTCCAGAATGATCCCCCTCTTCATCACAATCACCAGGTCGGCGTTTAGAATGGTGTGAACGCGATGCTGAAGGAAGAAAAACAACAGTCAGTACAGATTTTAGGGTTAGGGTTAGGGTTAGGGTTAGGGTTTTATTTATTATAAAATAATAAATAAAACTGAACTTGCATCACATGAATCGTCGCATGTTGAGGGACTATTTTCTCATATATCAGTCCGCCGCTGCCGAGCTTTCTATCAGGAAGTACAACTCACTGCTGCTGCTCAGACATAAATCCTTCAAATTCAAGGTTGGTTTTACTTCTAAAATTATTCTATCAACGCAGACATTTACGTCAACAGTCTGGTGTAATAATAGATTTGCTTCAGGTGATTTGTTTAGTGGGTAAGACTGTTTTAGTGGCAGGATAACTATGGCCATTGACATGCACTAGCCTAACACCAGCGACCTCTACAAATACAAGGACTGGATGGAATATTTAAAAAAGTGTCTCCACACGTCTCCAACACTCTGGCTCACGAGGAAACGAGGTCCTATGTCCAAAATTCCGAACTGTCCCTTTAAATAAATATGATGTTATGTTGTAATGTTACTGATTGCAGATGCGGTTTGTGACTCACGTGGGAGCAGGATTTAGAAAGTCGTCAAAACCAATACGCCCTGTCACACTGACCTCTGACCTCTGCTCCTGCCACACTGACCTCGGCGGAGCGGGTGAGACGCAAGAAATCTATCTTGGAGCGGTTTTCAGGTCATTACACATGAATTATCGTTGAACATAAAACCACGTTGCTGAGTCAAATACTAGAAGTAAGTACCACGCAGCTCTTGGAGTCAGCGTAAATCCGGCGTTCGAGGTTCTGTATTAGGCAAAATTGACTCTTGTGAGGTTTAAGTCATGTTTTAATGTTATTACCTGATCATAAACAGATCAAGAGTTGAGTTTTGTTTCATTCATATATTTAGTCTTTTGTTAATTTACCTTTTACACCCCGTTAATTAAACATGATTTAATTTATTCCATTTTACATCTTGGTTTTATTTTTGTTACTTCCCTGTCCCTAGCAGAGCTGGGTCGTAACACTTCCCTTCCCACTTTCCGGCGAGAAGGGCGGGCACATTTAACGATCTCAGTCATGATCGGCTCTTGTGGTTGCTATGATATTCGCGGTCGGATTTCCAAATATGAAGCCTGGCTCTAGATTTGCTCCTGTAACCATGGCAACAGGAGGGTCTTCTGATTGGAGCTGAACGCTGTGGGTGACGTCACACTTGCTTAGTCCACTTCTTTACACAGTCTATGGTAGTTACCGAACGAATGTGGTAAATGTGATCAGCGGTAAAATGAAGACTGAAAACGTATGTGCTGTTTGGAATCATCTTGAATTTGGCGCCTCATCTCTTCTACTTCTCTTCTTCAGTGGGGAAATGATGAAAACTGAGGTACGGTTGTAATTGTTGATTTGCCAAACATAACGGAATGCTTCAATGACATGTAGATGAAGAAAACTGGGCGTCACCGAGAGCGTAACAATGATTGGTTTAGTGGACCCATGTGATCTTGCGACGCGGAGATCCAGCGAGAACATACCGAAATACCTCGAGATTTAAGTGCAATAGTAGGAGATAGGAGAGACAGGCACAGATGCATATAGAGAGAGGCAGACATTTTGCAGGATTTGTCACCTGGTTTACACCTGGAAGTTGTAATCGCATCTTTCCAAACATCTTCCTGGTTTGTGACGTGAACGTGCATGGAGCGTTTTGGTTCTTATAGTCAGTGTTGAGAAGGTTACTTTTAAAATTTATTCCCCTACAGATTACAGATTACATACCTCAAAATGTCGTTTGTAACGTAATCCATTAAATTACTTTAGGTGAGTAATGTAATCTGAATACTTTGGATTACTTGATTTGCTGTAGAGAAGCAAAGACGAGGAAATTGTAACATAAGATGTTTTGTTTGGGCTTTTTATTTTCTTTTAGCAGACTTTACTGAACCGTATTAAAAATATTATTGATAGAAGAAGAGACACGTCCACGCAGCATGATTTAGTCCTGGTTTAGTCCTGGTTTTAGACCTGTTTTAGATCTAGTTTAGACCTGGTTTTAGTCCTGGTTTAGATCTAGTTTAGACCTGGTTTTAGTCCTGGTTTAGACTTGGTTTAGATCTAGTTTAGTCCTGGTTTAGATGTAGTTTAGACCTGGTTTAGATGTAGTTTAGACCTGGTTTAGATGTAGTTTAGACCTGGTTTAGTCCTGGTTTAGATTTAGTTTAGACCTGGTTTTAGTCCTGGTTTAGTCCTGGTTTAGATCTAGTTTAGACCTGGTTTTAATCCTGGTTTAGTCCTGGTTTAGACCTGGTTTAGATCTAGTTTAGACCTGGTTTTAGTCCTGGTTTAGTCCTGGTTTAGACCTGGTTTAGATCTAGTTTAGACCTGGTTTTAGTCCTGGTTTAGACCTGGTTTAGATCTAGTTTAGACCTGGTTTTAGTCCTGGTTTAGTCCTGGTTTAGATCTAGTTTAGACCTGGTTTTAGTCCTGGTTTAGATCTAGTTTAGACCTGGTTTTAGTCCTGGTTTAGTCCTGGTTTAGATCTAGTTTAGACCTGGTTTTAGTCCTGGTTTAGACCTGGTTTTAGTCCTGGTTTAGTCCTGGTTTAGATCTAGTTTAGACCTGGTTTTAGTCCTGGTTTAGATCTAGTTTAGACCTGGTTTTAGTCCTGGTTTAGATCTAGTTTAGACCTGGTTTTAGTCCTGGTTTAGTCCTGGTTTAGATCTAGTTTAGACCTGGTTTTAGTCCTGGTCCTGTGGAGAGTCGCTCCTATTCACAGAAGGAATTATTGTATTTTTGCTCAATAAAAACACCCGTAATCAATAAATACCAGATGGATATGTCATGATAAAATAATCTCATGCCGTGGAACATTCAAATATTCCACCAGAAAAGTTCCGCAGTGCACCTTTAAGTCTTCAAGGTGACACCAAGAGGACTTTTCCCCCTTTTGGCCCGTGTGTGTGGAGTATCTGTAACATTTGGCCTGAACATCTGGCGTCACCGAGCTCCGTCCAGCGCCCCGTCCAGCTTTGTTCTAACCTTCTCCTCTGTGTAATCTCATCTCAGAACATGTGCCGTGCTCGTTTAGAGAAGGTCAGAGCTCCCGCAGAGGAGAGCTCCCGCAGAGGATCTACAGCACAGACGTAATGCTGTAATGCTGCAACGGTGTAAGGGTCGATGTAAGGAGATACTCACTGCTATAGTAACTACTGTCCGGTCAGCAAACGCAGTCATCACTACCTTCTGCAAGATGCTCTCCTGTGGGAATAAAGAGGAAAATGAACAAGGTTTGGAATTACTTTTACATGTGCGCACAGGAAAAAGAGTAGGAATGTGATGACTATTTGATTAAAGGTCCAATCCACTTTATTTTTATACCACATTTTATAAACATGACAGTTTCTCAAGTACGTAAATCATAATTAAAAACAATAAATAAAAAGTGTTAAAATGCCTAAAGCTAAAAATGATAAAACAACGAAAAATAAAATAAATAAACCTTATTATTATAGTTATATATAACATAATAATATTAACTATTTTTGCCCAAAACTGACTCTTGTGAGCTTTAAGTCATGTTATAATGTTGTTACCTCCTCAAAAACAGACCCAGAGTTGTGTTTTGTATTTATTTACTCATACTAGAGTAACACTTTGTCTACATCTCCAAAGCTTTATTTTAATTACATTAAAATAACATTTACAGAAATAAAGGAGTTTGTGCATGAGACATAAGCATAAATATAATGAATATTAAACAAAAATAACAAATAAAAATCAGATTGAAGCTTGAAAACAAAGCAGATTAAGCAACTTTTTCTATATATAAATTTTTTATGTTCTTATGGATTTCCTGTTCCAACCTTTCTTTACTGATGCTATACTGCAGGGGTGTCAAACTCAAATTCACAGAGGGACAAAATTATTTAGTTTGGCCCAGTACCAGTTTTTATTTACTGAAAAATTTCAACAACATCTGCATGTTTTCTCTTCTTTCGAAATTGTAATGTTAAACCTTCTGTTATTAAAATAAATGTTTAACAATAGTTTTACTTAAACATTGAATCCAGAACAAGCATAATTTAACAAAATTTTAAATAAACAATGTCTCTATAGTCTATCTGTAGCCAGCAGGCAGCTTTAATACATATTTGATATAATCCCGTGGGCCGAATATAATCAAATTTGGGGCCAAATTTGGGCCCTGAACCTGAGTTTGACATGTCTACTATAGTAGCTCCAAAGCTCAAAACGCTCTGTTCTATCTTGTGATGTCATATAGTGATAGTTTTCGATTTCAACAGCTCCTTTTATCTTTTGTTCAGTAGAAATAGACAATTCCAGGGCAGAAATCATCCAAATGATTATAGTGAAGGTGTATGGAGTTTAAAAACACAGTGGAGCGCTCCATTACATCAGAAGGTAGAACACAGTTTTCAGATTTCGAAAGGAACTCAGCCTAAACATGTGTGAATAAAACAAAACACAACTCCAGGTAAGTTTGTGATGAGGAAACATTATAACAGATCAGAAAATAGTGTAATATGAGCTTTTTTAATCCTGCACTGTAGAAAAACTCATTCAAAATCATTGAATAACCTTTTCTTCTATCTCTTTCTCTGTGTTCCCTGATTAAAAGCCTCGTCCTCCTCCTCCTCAGGGCTGTTCTGTCGTAGCTGTGTCCAATACAAATGTCTATGTAAGTGACCGGTCAGTCTGAAGAGCGGCTTTAAATAAGAAGTCAGTTTCTTTTGTCCCTGATTTACCCCCCAGGCTCTGAGCTACTTGTGTCCTTTCCTTTCACTCCTCCTGCTTTCTTTTTAAACGTCTCCTCTGCACAAGCGCTTTCAAAACAACTTGACCTGCGTAACCATGGCAGCAGAAAATATTTTAAATGGGTTTATAAAGACAAGTTTTACCTTTACCCTTATATGACCACTAGGGGCGCCGTATCAAGTATCAGGTTTCTCATGCGGGACTCTAATTTTAAACTAAAGCCAAACTCGTCTTACTATGAGTTTGGCCTGACAGACGAACGTTATATCAAACTATTGAGGAGTATGACTATTGGGGTGGAGCTAACTAGAGGCACCGCTCTGTCTGCAGCTCTGTTACTCAAATGAGGCTTTACTCTGAGCATTGTTTTAACACACTCTCACCATAAAAAATGGACTCAGCTGGAACTATTCACCGTCACATAAAATCAAACTCCTGAACGGGATCATGAAGGCTCGTATTGATCATATTTTCAGAGTTATCGGGGTGACCGTAGTCTATGTCTGTAGTCTGTGGCACTGATCCAGTAAATTAAATTCCAATATCGATCCTTATTTCTCTAAAACACAGCTAACTTCTTAACTTGGGCGACAGTAGCTCACATAAACATCACTGGTTGAGCGGTTTGATCCACTGACCCACAGGTTGGTGGTGTGATTCCAGCTCCCACAGATGAATGCTGTTGTTGTGTCCTTGGACAAGACACTTAACCCTCCTCCCCCCTGGTGTCTGTGTGCACTGGTGAATCAATGTGTGTGTGAATGGGTGAGTGGTTCCTTTTTGTAAAGCGTTTCGAGTGCCTCAAAGGTGGAAATGTGACCATTTACCATTTGCTACTATGAATGTTGTGTCACCATGGCAACTGCTTCCACCAATAGAGATACATGTAGAGCACCCCCCAGTTCTCACTGCTAAGTGTCAACAGAAAGACAAAACTGCACTCTCCTTTGTGAATTATAACTGCTAAGCAATTACAAATATGACGGTGATTCTAATTTTATATATATATATATATATATATATATATATATATATATATATATATATATATATATATATATTTTTTTTTTTTTTTAACAGCAAGTCCTATAATTTTCTTATTTAGGCCTATTATTTAGTTTTAACTATAACAGGTGAGCCGATTTTGTGGTATTAAACAAGTCACTGTCACATAAAATATAAATCAAACACCTGAACAGGACCATGAAGGCTCATATTGATCATATTTTCAGACTTATCAGGGTGACAGTTGCCTATGTCTGTAGTCTGTGGCACTGATCCAGTAAATAAAATTCCAATATCGATCCTTATTTCTCTAAATCACAGCTAACTTCTTATCTTGGGCGACAGTAGCTCACATAAACATCATTGGTTAAGTGGTTTGACCCACTGACCCACAGGTTCACCCACAGACACTTAACTCTCCTCCCCCCTGGTGTCTGTGTGCACTGGTGAATGAATGTGTGTGTGAATGGGGGAGTGGTTCCTTGTTGTAAAGCATTCAAAGGTGGAAATGTGACCATTTACCATTTGCTAATATGAGCGTTGTGTCACCATGGCAACTGCTTCCACCAATAGAGATACATGTAGAGCACCCCCCAGTTCTCACTGCTGAATGTCAACAGAAAGACAAAACTGCACTCTTCTTTGTGAACTATAGTTGCTAATCAATTACAAATATGACTCTTTCTAATTACATAAGGTTTTTTTTTTTTTTGACAGCAAGTCCTGTAATTTTCCTATTTAGGCCTTATTTAGTTTTTTTTAGTTAGAACTACAACAGGTGAGCTGATTTGTGCTGTTAAACAAGTCACTGTCACATGACATGAAAACCAAAAATCAAACACCTAAACAGGACCATGAACATTTGTATTGGGGTCAGCGCAATGGTCCCACAGATCTATGTTCTCACAGCTCTATGTTCTCACAGCTCTATGTTCTCACAGCTCTATGTTCCCTCAGTTCTATGTTCTCACAGCTCTATGTTCTCTATGTTCTCACAGCTCTATGTTCTCACTATGTTCTCTCTATGTTCTCACAGCTCTATGTTCTCACAGCTCTATGTTCCCTCAGTTCTATGTTCTCACAGCTCTATGTTCTCACAGCTCTATGTTCTCACAGATCTATGTTCTCACAGCTCTATGTTCCCACAGCTCTATGTTCTCACAGCTCTATGTTCTCACAGCTCTATGTTCTCACAGCTGTATGTTCCCTCAGCTCTATGTTCCCACAGTCCTATGTTCCCTTTTGATTTTTCTTATTTCTGAGATTTTTCTCAAAATGAAACTCTAAGTCAAGTCATTTTTATTTGTATACGATATTTAAAGGGATGATTCAGAATCATTTCAACATAGTGTCCTTTGCACCGTGACCTCTTCATTACATCTGTTGTCTAGTCCTGCTGTTGGATAGTAGGTTGGGTGTAATTGACGACCAAATTGGGACAAATGGGGATAAAATCTGATGCAAACTGATGATAAGTGGAATGTGGGAACATAGTGCCTAATTTTGGAAAAAAAACAACAACAAAAAAAAAACCTTACAAATGAGGGAACATAGACACGCTCCCCTCGTATTTATCACAGGCTCCTGAAAAGGTGCAGTTTTTTTCTTGAGTTTTCAGACAATCTTAAAACTTTTTTTTTGGCCACTATTTGCTAATGTGTACATTGCATCTCCACGGTGATTCCTGAACATTCCACCATTAGAACTACATGTAGAACACCCTCAGCGTGTTGTCACTGGGAAATATTGATAGAAAGACGACACTGCGCCCTCCTTTGTGAACTATAACTTCAAATCAACCACAAATATGCCTTAGAAAACAATATCTAAAATCTAAATGTGTCTAAATCTCTTTCTAATTACATAACATTGTCTATTTTTAACTGCAAATTGTACAAGTTCTATAATTTTCTCGTGTAGTCCTTTTACCAGAGTTGTAATAATTTAATTTAAATTACTATCGACTGACTAATCGGTTTGTGTTCACTGACAATGGAAACGGATCTTTTACTCATTCGGTTGTTTTTCTGACGCTTCTCCATCGTCATGACAACACATGAACCCTGTAATTTTCTCAGCGTTGTTGTTCATGTGGATGTGTAAAGTGTCTTTTCTCTCCCGTCAAAGGGTCACCTCCTTTAACCTCCTCGTCGTATTGATGCTGTGCAGCTGACGCCATCCACATTCCCTGGGGCTGTGACGCTAACGGGAGGCTCTGCTTTGTCTTGACGCTTTTTTTTAGACTTTAATCTGAGCTTTTATTCTAACACAATTTGACCAAAAAGAACCGACTTAGCTGGAACTACAACATGTGAGCTCATTTGTGCTGTAAAACAAGTTTCTCTTATATAGGGTGACCAGAATTTCAGAATAAAAAACTGGGACACCCCTGATTTGTGTTGGTTGGTAATAATAAAACTGTGAAATAAGTGCCTAATTAAAGAAAATTGTTCTGGACTTGGACCATCCATGACTAAAGTGCGTGAGTATAGCCACATTTTCTTTGTGTTTTGTTGATTTTTAAGCAGCTTTTCTGTATTTTACCTCAACCAACGATCACGATATGAACCTCACGATTTATTTATTGCAATATTGTGGGAAAGCTCACGATTAGAGTTGTAACAGTACCCAAATCTCTCTGTACGATATTTTCACGATATACATCTCACGGTACGATATTTAGTGCGTATTTTGTAGAGGCAACAAAATTATTACTGCTACTTTTTCCTCTTAAAATGCCTTGACAAAACTTAATCCAAAGAACTAAGACTTAAAAGTGCTTAGAACTGTTATTTCTTCTTGTAGTCGACACTGAAATGGAGCAAAGGATCATGGCCTATGTAGTTTTTTTTAGTCATTGCTGCACCATAACTCTTAATTTAAGCAAAGCGACTTGTAATTCGATATATTGTGATGGTCTACGATATTATTGTGAGAACTTTGATGATACGATATCACGATATTTAAGTTATTGTTACATCTCTAAAACCTATGCCTCTCTTTACTGTTGGCAGGGATCAAATTGGTCAAAACTAAGGACACTTGGGACATTTCTTGTATAAAACTTGGACAAATCAATAGTTTTGGATAAATCTGCTGGGACAGGGGACACAAGACTCAAAACTAAGACTGTTCCGGGTAAATAAGGACATCTGGTCACCCTAATTTACAGACAGAAGCTACCTAGCATTCCCCAACAGTTTTTCATTTAGTCTCTCTCAGTTTTTCGTTGCAAATCAAAGGCCTAAGAAGGACCATTAATGCTCATATCGATTCAGAGCTCCTGAAAATGTGCTGTTTAATGGTGTTTAGGAGTTGCCATGGTGATGCAATACACATATTAGTAAACACTAGCAAAAAAAAAAATCTAAAGACTGTCTGAAAACTCAAGAAAAACTGGATTTAAAGATACATGAAGAACACTCCCAGCATAATTTCACTACAAATATCACTGGAAAGTATGGATGTAATGATATCCAAATCTCTTGTTACGATATTATCACGATATGCATCTCACGGTACCATATTTATTGCGATATTTTAGAGAGGCTGATATAATTGTAGATAGGAACATTTTTTGCTTTTAAAATACCTTGATAAGATTTTGGTGTGAATTATTTCCTTCATAATCACAAGAATTCAAGTGAAACATATCTCTTCGTGTTGTCTGAGCTGAAATGAATCATGGGATATGTAGTTTCCGATGTTTACTAGTTATTGCTACTATTAAAAATTAAGCAAAGGGATACTGGAAATGGTCTTTAAAAGGAAGATTCAATATGATTTTAAAATAATGTATTTGGGAGATTTTGTTTCGTTGCACCTTTCTAAAGCAGATTCATACTTGATGGGAGTATTGCTGGTGGCTGCCAAGAAAGGAGTAACTCGGAAGTGGCTTGGACAGGAGACACCTACATTGGATGAATGGATAGACTTGATATTTAGCATTTTTTTAAATGGAAAGGATCACATTTAAATTGAAGTTACAAAGTGACATATTTGAAACCTATTGGTCAAAATGGTTGCGGTATGTAAAGACAAGAAGACCTGACTTTGTATAAAGTAGTTATATCTGTTTATCTGCCCCCACTGTCTTGTTTTGTTCTTACTGTTTGAATGTTGTTTATTTTTACAAGATAAAAACCCAATAAAAAGTGAATGACAAAAAAAAATAAAATTAAGCAAAGAAGCTTGTAATTCAATATATTGTGAGCCCCCACGATATTATTGTGAGACTTTTGACGATACGATATCACGATATTTCGGTTATTGTTACATCCCTAATAGCAGTTTTGCGTTATAAAAGTAACGAATTACTGTAATGCATTGCTTTTTCCTGTAACGCAGTAATGTTCGGCATTACAGGGGAAAAAATTTGATTGAAGTGGTGGGTTTTTCTTTATACAAATTTGTTAAAATCACTGAGATATGAGTAGCGGTGAAACGCCGGAGACGCGCCCACGTAGACCGTCGGGTGACCGAGAGCGAAAGGACCGGCTCAGAACTCCACGCTCCACGGGGCGAACTGCAGCTGACGCCTGATCACGCCTTATAGACACAATGTTCCAGGTGCTCGGAGTTCTCTCAGGGGCGGTCCTAGATTCCAAGTTCTAGTCCAAGATTAGTCCTGGTTTGGGCCTGGTTTAGACCTTGTTTAGACCTGTTTTAGACCTGGGTCAATTTTGGTTTAGACCTGGTTTAGTCCTGGTTCAGTCCTGGTTCAGTCCTGGTTCAGTTCTGGTTCAGTTCTGGTTTAGTCCTGGTTCAGTCCTGGTTTAGACCTAGTTTAGTCCTGGTTTAGTCCTGATTCAGTCCTGGTTCAGTTCTGGTTTAGTTCTGGTTTAGTCCTGGTTCAGTCCTGGTATAGACCTAGTTTAGTCCTGGTTCAGTCCTGGTTTAGTCCTGATTCAGTCCTGGTTTAGTTCTGGTTCAGTCCTGGTTCAGTTCTGGTTCAGTTCTGGTTCAGTTCTGGTTTAGTTCTGGTTTAGTCCTGGTTCAGTCCTGGTTTAGACCTAGTTTAGTTCTGGTTCAGTCCTGGTTTAGTCCTGATTCAGTCCTGGTTTAGACCTAGTTTAGTCCTGTTTCAGTCCTGGTTTAGTCCTGATTCAGTCCTGGTTTAGTTCTGGTTTAGTCCTGGTTTAGTTCTGTGACCATGGTAACTCTGTGAACTGACCGTTGCCATGTCGATGGACGCCGTGGCTTCGTCCATGATGAGGATGCTGCTCTTTCGGACGAAGGCTCGGGCCAAACAGAAGAGCTGCCTCTGGCCCTGGCTGAAGTTCTCCCCTCCCTCTGTGATCGTAGCATCTGGAAACACACAGAAAACATGGATCATTAAAGAGGCATAAAACTGATATTTGTAAACAATGAGTAATTATTAGTTTATATTTGGCCAAGAAATCTATTTTATATTGATTTCTCATTTATTCACCCATGTCTTTAATTGGCACAGAACAGAATATTCAATCATAAGTGACACTTCAGGGACATTAAGTTCCTTGATTATCAGAATTTTCGACTCAAAAGTTGAATAGAAATGACCAAACCCCAAAAACTATGATATTAGAATTTAAAGGTGCACTGCGTAACTTTCCCGGTGGAGGGTCTGCTTCCTTCTTATCTCCATGGTGATGTTGTTGCTTTGCCTGGAATGTTCCATGATGTGACATTAAACAAATCCATCTAGTATTTATCCATTACAGGTGTTTCTATTTCTCAAAAATATAATCATTCCTTCTGTGAATAGGGGCGACTCTCCACAGATCTGACTTGTAATGTAGTGTAGTGCTGTAACCTGCCTGTCTCCCTCTCGATAGATGGATTTTATACTTTTTATACTGTGGAACATTCTAGACAAAGCAATAACATTTCCATGAAGACAAGCAGATACTGGATTCTCCACAAGAAATTTTAGTTGTGCACCTTAAAAAAAAAAAAAACATGAGAAATAACTGTTACTAAATATTTTAAAATCTGAATAGACTACGACATGAAATGATCAAACAGAAAATATACAATAGAATTCACAATATATTCATTACAATGCTTCAGAGCGAACATTTAGAGTGATTAAACGTCCACCACTTAATAGATAATTACGAAAGGCGAATGCTGTATTGCGCATTCTTAGTTTTAATCAAGGTTTCCACTCTTTTTCACTGATAAATTTTTTTTTCAAAACTTTTCCATGACTTTTTCATGACCTAAAGTGAATTTCCCAGGACTTTACGGCACCTACATGTGTAGAATTGATCAGACTTTTAGGACTAAATACAAAACGTTAACCTTATGGTTTGGTTTTATAGTTTTTTAACATTCAAAATCCTGTCAGTGGATTTATTGTCGTCTATTTTAAACAAAAGGCGCAAACATTTGGAAATAATCATAATAGTCTAATGAGAACTTCACAGAACGATGTAGTTGCATGAATGAGATATTAAAATTCCATAACTTTTCCAAAACTTTCATTGAATTTACAAAATGATACTTGTTTGATGATGAGAACCCTGTTTAATAATTACTTTTACCTTTGTGTCTGAATTTAGTTTTTCAGAAGAATAAAGAGATCTTCACTGCACTTCTTTGAAGCTCCCAATTTTTTTATATCACTGACACCACAGTGTGACATGTCGGGTCAAGCTGTGCTTCAGTCATTGAAATAAACATCTGGGAGCTTCAAAGAACTGCAGTACGGTTCTCTTTCTTCTTTTGTACATTTTTATCTTTGAGCCCAGCACACAATTTTTATTGGATGTGCATGTCTCTTAGCCTGATTCATCATCCGGTTTCACGTCATGGAAACCGTCTGACCTCGCAGCATTAGGATTTGCTCGACGGTAGGCATGTACTTTTTTTATGTAACCAATCGCTGCTATTTGGTCGTGACATAGAAAGAAGGGCAATAACGTCTTTCCCCTTGATAAACATTCTCTTTATTCTGGCTTTAAATCCTCGATCTCGGGAATCGTTGCCAACACAGAATGTATGTCTTCGTCTACATCCATCTTGACCACTTTGTTTACTCTTGTGCTGTACCACAAAAGGGACCCAGACAGGTGCTTGAGTTTGACGTCATGGCTTCACAGCTCTTCACTGATTGGTTGGTGCGCGGTCTACAACTTCCGGGGTTCTTGCAAACACCTCACATAGTGTATTCTGATTCCTGACCTAGTCGCAGGAGAGAAATGAAATTGAGCGGAGGCACTAGGTGGCACCAGCCTGGCTACATGTCTCTATCTATCAGTCTGAATTGAGTTTTAGCAGCAAAAGTGCAAAACCTCTTCACAAATGTGCTCTCAAAGGTCCCAAGAAATCTGTTTAATTAACCTGAGTGCTCCAGACTCACTGCAGTAACGTACACTACAGTTGGCAGCAATATAAATAACTTCATTAAAAATAGACTTTAATTTAAAACAGTAGATTGATAAATGAGCCTTCAAGGGATTAGATCAATACATAACATTTGTATATGGAGAATGTTTTCAGAAGCAGGAGGCTCGGGTTCGGTCACATGTATCTGTGTCCAGTCGGTCAGTCTATGTATACACCACAACGCTCTCTCGTCTTTCATGTGGAAGTAAAAGGAACTAGACAGATACGAAGGGACCAAGGCCACGTCTCGATTCTTTTCCTCGCTCCTTGACTCCTCTCCTCGACCCTTCATTTTTCAGCTGTCAATCAAATATGTCTTATTATCGGTGCCCCAAAGAAGACCACGGAGTGAAGGAGTAAACACGAGAGAAGCTTCAGGATCAGAAATCAGATAAAATAATCAAACTTTATTGCTCTCGGTGAAGAGTTTATATCCTCTCTCTTCGCTGTGTCTCCTCTGTGGGTTGGACTTCCTCACTCATTTCCTGCAGAATCGAGGAATCAAGGAGAAGGAAGTGAGGAAAGAGAAATAAGACACGGCCCAAGTATCCAGTGAGTGAGAATGTAGGTTAGCTGTTCAGCAAGTGACTCAAACATCTCTATCTCCTGTGTCAAAATAATTATTGCAAAACCAAGAAGGAGGCTGACAAAAAATTGCTGAAGGGCAGACAAAGCTATCAATTTCAGAATGATGAAAAGTTAGGAGTGTTGTATAATTAAAGGTCCATCGTCCACCCACTTCTCCCGACGTGAGATATAAAAAAAATTACAAATATAAAATAATTACAACTTAAATGTAAAACTGGAGCTATTGGAAAAGGTAAAAACAAATTGCACAGGCTCATGATATCTACAGGACTGACCTATAGTGACCTGAGACATGAGGGACCAGGACTGAACCAGGACTGAACTAGGTCTAAACCAGGACTGAACTAGGTCTAAACCAGGTCTAAGCCAGGACTAAAACAGGACTAAAACAGGACTAAGCGGGGACTAAACAGGACTAAACCAGGACTGAACCAGGTCTGAACTGGGACTAAAACAGGCCTAAAACAAGACTAAAACACGTCTGACCCAGGACTAAACCAGGACTAAAACAGGACTGAACCAGGACTAAACCAGGACTGAACCAGAACTAAACCAGGACTAAAACAGGACTACACCAAGACTGAAACAGGACTAAAACAGGACTCAACCAGGTCTAAACCAGGTCTGAACAGGCCTAAACCAGCACTGAGTGTTAGGATGGCTCGGGGTTCTCTCTCACTCTCAAGTCCAAGATTAGGCCTGGGTTTGACCTGGTTTAGTCCTGGTTTAGTCCTGGTGTAGTCCTAGTGTAGTCCTGGTGTAGTGCTGGTGTAGTCCTGATTTAGTCCTGGTTCAGTCCTGGTTTTGTCCTGGTTTTGTTCTCCTTCAGTTCTGGTTTAGTCCTGGTTTAGTCCTGGTTCAGTCCTGGTTCAGTCGTGGTTTAGACCTGGTTCAGTTCTGGTTTAGTTCTGGTTTTGTCCTCCTTCAGTTCTGGTTTAGTCCTGGTTTATTCCTCCTTCAGTTCTGGTTTAGTCCTGGTTTATTCCTCCTTCAGTTCTGGTTTAGTTCTGGTTTAGTCCTGGTTTAGTCCTGGTTTTGTCCTCCTTCAGTTCTGGTTTAGTCCTGGTTTATTCCTCCTTCAGTTCTGGTTTAGTCCTGGTTTAGGATTCACCACATTGATGACGAATCACGTATCCCCACTTAAAAAATCTCCACTACATCACTGGTGTATGGAGTTTAAAAACACAGTGGAGCACTTCCAGTATTACCACATGACATCACAAGGTGCAAAGTGTTTTCTGTTTGAGAGAAGCCGAAATCAGCCTAAATACATGTGTGAATGAAACAAAACACAACTCCAGGTCTGTTTGTGAGAGAATATGTGCACTTGAACAATTCAGATCCTTATATCATTTGACTGCTCTGCCCACGGTCCTCAAAATGGCGCCATATGACAGAAATCTGAGACCCATGAATAGAAAATAGATCTGTTGTGGTATAAAACATTCATGCTCATGTATTTTGATCCTGCAGAGTTTTGTACTGGGGATGTAACAGTGACTTGAATGTGAATACAGAACCCTGGTGACTCACGGGGGACCGTCTACCACAGTTTATCTCTGTAGAAGGCCACAGTATGTTGCTCGCAGCGTAAACAAACTACAAAAAAAAATCAATATGAGCAGTGTTCTTATGAGATCTGAGGGTATAGACACAGGTTAAACAGGATTGACGTGTGTGGTGTGATATGTCAGTATACAGTGACAGCAAAGGTCCTATATTACACAGAATGGATCCTTGAGAGCTTTAACGGTGCACTGTGTAATGTTTCTGGTGGAGGGTCTGCTCGCTACTTGTCTCTAATACTTTACTTCAATAGACCTTTTTCACAATGGCCTGAAGTGTCCCGCTTTAGGTTTGTGGAACTTCCGGTTAATGATTTTCTGTGACAAAATGTTTGAGGGAATGTCTCACATATTCTCCACCAGCTTCATAAATCCTCCCCATCACCAAATCTTCAACCAACAAGGTCCACAAAAGATAAACAAGAAAAATGTATCCACAACTATCAAGGTAAGAAAGCAAAGCAAACGACGACTCGCATTAGAGAACTACTGAGCAAAACTAACGTAATGTTAATGAATAAAACATAAGAATCTTGGGTAACACTTTATAATAACTACACCTTATTTAGCCTTAATAAAGCATGAACAAAGACTTAATTAATAATGATTCACGCTTAGTAACTACTTAATTACTACCTTAATTAGCACTTGCACTTAATTTGCCTGTGCTGTAAATAGTTACTCATAATTATTTCATACTTAATTACTCATGAACTAACCATTTGAGCATTTATTAATCATTAGTAAACTATGAGAGAATGATTTACTAATAATACAATGCAATGATAATTCAGGCAGCTGTTATCTGTTAAGTCTTTTTGAGAACTTTTCTAAAGTGAAGACTAATTGTGCTTTATTAAGCATTTACTAAACATGAATCATTATTAATTAAATCTTTGTTCATTATTAATTAAGTCTTTGTTCATGCTTTATTAAGGCTAAGTAAGGTGTAGTTATTATAAAGTATTACCGAATCTTGTTCACTCAGACTGATTCTAGAATTAAAATTAAATTAAAATTGATTTCATGATGTTGATATTAGCATAGATAGATACATTACTGCAGTTGGAATGCGAGACATCTCTAGGGGACCATAATGTTAGTTTTGTTCAGTAGTTCAATAATGCGAGTCGTTGTTCGCCTTTAAATTTTCATCTTTCTTACCTTGATAGTTGTGGATAAATTCTTCATGGAAGAATGTTTATTCTTTGTGAACCTTGTTGGTTGAAGATTTGGTGATGGGGCAGATTTTTGAAGCTGGTGGAAAATACACCAGACATTTCCACAGACATTTTGCCACAGAAAACCATTCACAGGAAGTGAAACAAACCTAAAGCAACACACTTCCAGATGTTGTGAAAAAGGTCTATTTCCTGCAGTTGAAACCAATCGGTCTCACACCACAAATCTAAGCTGTAGTTTTATTTGCAAGTCTCCATGAAGATTCTTAAGTTAATGGCCATACTGTGGAACATTTTAGGCACATTTCCATGGAGACAAGCAGACAAGTAGACAAGTTACACAACCTTTAAGCCATGTCAGAATGTTCTTACCTCATCAAAAACAGACCTGGAGTTGTGTTTTGTTCCATTCACATGTGTTTGAGTAACTTTTTATTATTAGTTTGTTTATATTTCCAAAGCTCATAATGCTCTGTTCCACCTTGTGATGTCATAATTTGCAAGTTAACAGCTACATTTTGCCTTTAGTTCAGTAGAGATTGGCAATTCCAGTGCTGAAATCATCACAAGGTGCAACAGAGTGTTTTCAGTTTGAGAGAAAAACTCTAAGTAAATATGCAGGGTTTGTGTGTTAAACATGTGTGACTAAAGCAAAACACAACTCCAGGTCTGATTGTGATGAGGAAACAACATAATAACACAGATAAAGCAGTGGGTCCTTTAAAGAGAGAGTCTCACCGAGTCCTCCGGGGAGAGTCTTGACTACAGGCTTCAGCTGAGCGATCTCCAGAGCTTCCCACAGCATCTCGTCCGTGGCCTTCATTTCCGGGTCCAAGTTAAAACTACAAACAAAGAGAAGGAGTTGGCAAGAAGACAAAAATTAACATCTCTTTTAAACAACAATATTATATAAATCCATGAGAAATGTGCTTAAACAGGCCTATAAATGTTGTGGTCCAGATTCAAGTTAGATGTATTATAAATGATGATATAACAATTATACACAGAGTTTGTATCACTGTGTGTCCGGTTTTATTTCAAAGATTATACTACAAGATGACTGTACTTAGTTTTCATTTTAGTTCATTTCAAGAATCCTGTGGCTCAGAGAATAGACTTTAAAGCGGCGCTGTTTGTACAAATCTCTCCATGGCCTGGCACCAAAGTACATCTGTGACATGTTAGTGCCACATGAAGCATCTCACACTCTAAGAAGCTCAGGGACCGGCCTCCTGCTGGTGTCCAGAGTCACGACTAAACACAGGGAGTCAGAGTTTCAGATTCATGCAGCTAAAACCTGAACAGTCTTCATCAAGATGTGAGGCAGGCCTCTACTGTGACTCTGTTTAAATCCAGGCTCAAAACGCTTCTGTTTAGCTGTATATGACAACTGAAGGTTTTCATTTTTCATTCCAAACTCCTCTCTCATTTAATGTCTCTTTCTCTTTTTAATTTTATGATTATTTACAGTCCAATGAGGTTCATTTGGTCTTCTGATAATCTATGTTATTTGGTTCTTTTTTTCAGACCAAGAATTTGTTTTCATACCTGACAATTTTAGTGATGTTGCTGTGATGTGTCCAGTTTTGTCCAGTACTTTATAGACATTTTGGCGCTGTTTTCCTACCAGTGGAGGCAGGACGACAGCGCCACCTGCAGTACGACTTCCTCAAGACAGTATCCCAGGTGTGTGAGAGTAAAAAAGCGAACCACAGAAGAGAGAATCACATTGTGGACTGGGAATGGAACGTCATTGGGACAGAGGAAAACAAACATCGTCGCTGGATTAAAGAGGCAATCGAAATACGGAAACGTGCCCACGGGACTATAAACCGGGACGAGGGGGCTTTTTTACTCTCACACACCTGGGATACTGTCCTGAGGAAGTCGGACTGTAGATGGCGCTGTCATCCTGTATCCACCGGTAGGAAGACAGCGCCAAAACTTGTATAAATCAGCTGACCGGACACGTCACAGCAACATCACGTGACCACTCTGAGGAAAACCGCAAGTGAGCAGTCAAAACTGTCAGGTATGAAAACAAACTCTTGGTCTGAAAAAGAACCTAATAACATAGATGATTATTTATGTTTCCATTTGTTTGTATTGTGATTTTAATGTATTTCTTATTCTGTAAAGCACATTAAATTACTTGATGTATGAATTGTGCTATACAAATAAACTTGCCATGCCATTTTATTCTCTTTTTTAAGGCCCACTATGTAACTTTCCTGGTGGAGAGTCTTTGTGTAGATTTAACTGCTTTGCCTGGATTGTTTATCTATTTCCATGGATTTTTTTTCCCCTTAACCTTTATTTAACCAGAAGAACCTCGTTAAGACGGAAAATCCTGGTCAAGACACAATTATTATCTACAAGCCTGGGAAATCTTGGGTCGGTCAGCTGTACGTGATCACACATCATCAATAAAATCAATAAAATTAATAAAAGTTTATTAAAATAATCATCTCTTGTAAAAAACAACAACAATCAGACGACTCTTCCTCCAAGACTAGATGGTTCACTCTATATATGTATAATGACATACTGTGGAACATTCCAAGCAAATCAATACAATACCTTTACCTCCACCAGAAAAGTTACAAAGTTCATCTTATATTATTCTAATTAAGCGTTTCTCTAAAACAACTTTTTAATGAATTTTCCAATATACCTCGTACCTCTCCCAAAGGAAATTACACAATCCTACTGGGCACACATTTAGATGGACAGATACTCTTCATTAGTATTTCTTTTCAGGAAATGATGTTTTTGTTGCAGCAGCTCCTTAAGTCTACAGGGCTGAAAGTTTTAAATGTCTGTACTGGAAACCCACCACTGATCTCCAACAACAACATTTAACGGCCACAATATTTGAGCCTAAAAATAACCCTCCTTCAGACAGTGCCCTCTCAGGACACAGGCTCCACTTAACTCTGCGCATGGAGACATTTAAAGCTTTATTATGGATTATTTGACCCAAAGTGCTCTTACAAGACCACACCTGCACATGCAAAAAATATAAATGCAGAAAAAATACTAGGAAACGTGTATTTATCAGTATATAAAGACTCATCCAAGGTTTAAAAAAGCCCTGAAAACCCATCTTTTTAAAACCAACTTTCATTATTAATTTTCTTGTTTCTTCTGTTTATCTTTGTTTGTCTTTTCATGTAAAGCGCCTTTGGGTGCCTTGAAAAGCGCTATACAAGTGTTATGTCTTATTATTTTTAAAGACAGATTAAACTTGTGAATCATGAGTTTAGTCTGCTTTTGAAATACCAAAAAATACCAACTCTTCAGCCAAATCACTCACTCACTCAGCACCTTCTCCTTTCTGATGTTGACCCATAATAAATCCTTGTAATCTAAATATAATTATTAGTCGACTAACACAAAGACTCCAGTGGCCTATCAAGTGTCTAAGTGTCTAATGCCGGACATACACTGGCTGATATTTTTGATCGTTTCACTCAGCCCCAGCTCAAACTGTATGATCAAATCACAGGGTTTAAAATTTCACAGCTCACGATTCATCATCTCACACTATACAAACTACTTCAACCGAGCGAAACCCTCACGAAAGGATTTCAGACAGGTTTGATATTCTTGCGGCCTACGATTGCTGATCAGGAGCTGGTCGTGAGGTATTAATCAGTTCTCATTACCCCATGTTTACTACACGAAGCACGACACACGATTAAGCCAAAACCCAAAAACATTAGCCAGGCTGGCACCACCTAGTGCCTCTGCTCAATTTAATTTCTCTCCAGCGACTAGGTCAGGAATCGAAATACACTAGACGAAATTGCAAGAACCCCAGAAGTTGCAGACCGTGCACCGTCCAATCAGTGAAGAGCTGTGAAGCCATGACAGACAAACTCAAGTGCCTGTCTGGGTCCCTTTTGTGGAACAGCACAACAGTAAACAAAGCGGTCGAGATGGATGTAGACAAAGCCATACATTCTGTGTTGGCAACGATTCCTGAGATCAAAGATTTAAAGCCGAAACAAAGAGAATATTTGGTGAATTTTATCAAGAGGAAAGACGTTATTGCCCTTCTTCCTACAGGATTTGGCGCATTACATACGTCATGACCAAATAGCAGCGGCTGGTTAAATAAAAAGTACCCGCATACCGTCGAGCGAATGAATCCTAATGCTGTGAGGTCAGACGGTTTCCACAAAGTGAAACAGGCTGATGAATCAGGCTAAAAAATTGTCACATGAGAGAAAAATAGTCTCAAAAAGGACAGAAAATCGCACAGTGTACGTCTGTCTTAAACGACAAAAAATCAACAGCACTATTGATATATAATTGATACTCACACTGGAGGTGCTCTACATGTATTTATATTGGGGGAATGTTGAGCAGTTACCATGGTGACACAATACACACATTAGCAAACACAAACAAAATAAGTTTTTAGTATAAAAACTCAAGAAAAATACCAAGAATGGATGGATTTGATATTTAATAATACTATTTAATATTTAATACACATTTTCAGGAGCCTGTGATCAATACAAGCACTCATGGTCCTGTTTAAATCTTTTGCTTTTCAACAAATAATGTGAAAAACTAACTGAAAAACTGTTGCCTGATGCTATCTAGCTTTTGTGACTGTAATTTTATATGAAAGAGGCTTGTTCAACAGCACAAATCCTCAACCCCATTGTCGTTCCAGGTAGATCAGCTCTTTGTTGTCAGATTGTGTTAAAATAAAGCTTGGATTAAATCTAACTTCAGTAACAGAGCTTCAGACAGAGTAGTGCTTCCAGTTAGCTTCACACACCCAGGGAACGTTGATGAAATCAGCTGTAAAGTATCTCCTGATCTCATGTAACAATACCAGTATCCAAGGGACTCAGAGTAATAAACAAATATTACCGCTGCCATGGTGATTAACAATATAAAACTAAATTTAAAATCTTTTGAATGGGAAAAAATCTTCAAAATGTTGCATATAACAGGAAGCTGGGACCCAGGAATAACATTTTGGGTTGAGTTTATTTGTTTATAGGTCCTCTGTCAATAATAAAGGAAGAATTGTATTTTTCTTTGGTAAATCAGATTTTTGGAGCAGATGATGTTTTCTCATAATGTACATTTATGGAGACAGATGGAAAGAAAAACCATGTTAGTTGCGAGGTAAAACGGAATATCTTTTTACTAATATTATAACACTGGAAACATTAAACTGCACTACATAAGTCAGTGCCCACTTAAGTCTGTGCTTTATGGAGGGCACTTCCTCTCTGTGTGCTCATGAGAAATGACCCGATGTCTGGTTCACAAGCCCAGACTAAGGTGGATGAGTTATGAGTCTGAATAAAGAGAACAGACATTTTTTGGACTATAAGTCGCTCCGGAGTATAAGTTGTACCAGCTAAAAAATGTGTATAGAAGAAGAATGATCTTTGCTGATTGGCTGTTGCCCAAACTCGTACTTACGGGGTTCTTGCAAACCATCTAGTGTATTCCGATTTGTGACTAGTCGCTGAAGAGAAATTAAATTGAGCGGAGGCACTAGGTGGCACCATCCCAAGTATTAAAGGTGAACACTTATCGTATTTTCTGCACTACACAGCAAAAACTGGAGGGTTAGAATTTTAGGGTAAAATATTTCAGAGTTGTTTTTAACACCAAAAGTGTTATTTTAATGATTTAAAAGTTAAATGTGGGTTCAAGTTGGGGTTATTTGCCAGAGTTGATGTAGCAGAGGTTAATTCAACTTCCTCTAGTATTAATTCAACTTCTCTTAGTGTTAATTTGGCTCCTCCCATTCACCACTTCAAACTCTCGCGAGAGAAGACAAGTTTGAACCAGTTTTGTTCATAATTTCATCTTAAATTAAATGAAAGAATGAGAGCCTCGCACATCAATTACTAGAGATTGGTGCATTGGAGGAGAGGGAGCAGCCCAAGAACATACAGAAAAATCCCGCACACCGTCTTAAATAAAATAAAGTATATATAAAATAAAACACCTCTGTGCGTTTAGCTAAATCACAAACTGTACAAAGTGTTATCTGTTTACTCTCAAAACATTAAAATAACTCTGGATTTCGGGGTTAAACAGGAACTTTGGCCCAGTGTAACTTAATTAACATTTCCAAAACTGTTAAATTAACTCTGGAACAGATTGGACTCATATAAACTCTGAGAAAATGTTAAAGTTGATTCTGTGAGAGTCAATTTTAACACTCCACTTTTTGCTGTGTACAGGCCACTCTGGATTATAAAGCGCACTGTCATAGAATGGTCTCTTTTCTAACTTTTTTCACAAATAAACCACACCGGACGCATTAAATGAAACACAACAGTTAGATGGGTCAGTCGGACTTTGTTTGTCACGTTCACGGTGACTCTGGGCTTTGTTCAGTTGTGGCGTGTAGGGAGGGTGCTGTCTGGAACCGCTGGATTGTCGGCGTGTTCGCAGTGACTCAGTTGTTCAGTTGTGTCTAGAAGTTTCAGTTCGTTCCTCCGTTCCGTTCCTCGTGGAGTGATGAGTGTGGCTGTTGGTGTTTTTCGCCGTGCGGTCGCTGTCTGCTCCGTGTGTGTTTGCGTGCGCTGCGGGTGGTGCGGCTTTGTAGTTTACTGAAGTCGTACTGAGACACCTGAGTGGATTCGTGTATAGAGCGCTCTGGATTGTTGGGCGCGCAGTTGTTTTTTGATGGGGTTGGAGGCTTTAGAGTGCGCTCTATAATGCGGAAAATACGGTACTTGTCTCCATGGAGATGTTACCATTTTGCCTAGAATGATCCACTGTATAATATTAAACCTATATACATCCACAAGAGAGAGAGAAGCAGCCCCATACAGGTTGGAAAAATGCAGGTATCTCAAGATATTTTTAGCTATAAACACCTGCAACTGAATCAATGAGAGAGAGAGATCAATCCAGACAAAGAAATTAGATCTCCACGGTGACAAGCAAATGGCTGAGTTTGCACCAGAAACATTGCAAAAGTTTATTCAGTAAAATAAACGTGGTAGGCGGCTGATTCTTACCGTATTGTGCCACTGAAGAGGATGGGGTCTTGGAGGATGATGGACAGACGTGACCTTAGGGTTTGGAGAGGCAGTTTGGCGATGTCGATGTCGTCTATCACGATCCTCCCTGCAGCGAAAGGACAGAATTTATCACATTTATCACACTGTCAACTATTAACACGAAAATCTTATGTCGTTACTAATAGGCCTATCACAATCGCTGCAGAAATATTGAGATAAAAGATAATATTGAAACTACTTTATCCCACTGATTAAATTTAAAGGTTCTATATTACACAAGATTGACTCTCGTGAGCTTTAAGCCAAGTTAGAATGTTGTTTTACTCATCAAAAACAACTTAAATATGCAGAATATAAAAATAAATATCTGTTAAACACGTGTGAATGAACCAAAACACAACTTTGGGTATGTTTTTGATGAGAAAACAGCATTATAACAGATCAGAACAATAGCGTAATATGGTCGTTTTAAATAAAGCAGGAATAGAGCAGAAGCCCAATAATCCATTTTTAAATATACTGCATAATTAAAAGGCCAGAGCAGCAATAAATAAAAAACAGAATGAACCAATAATTAGCCACAGAAGTGACTTATCCTGCTCTCTACAGCTCAGATCTCATCATATTACATCAAAACTAACAAAAATCTCCCAATTATTGCAAAGAAAATGTAAATAAAGTAAATATTGAGCCCCAAAATATATAGATCTAGTATATAAGTTTATTTATTAAGTTTATATATTAATTATCTTGACAGGTCTGATTACTAAACGACGATCTTACCTTCAAACATGTCGACCATGCGGAAAAACGCCAACGAGAATGATGATTTCCCACTTCCCGTCCGTCCACAGATTCCCACCTGAAAACAACATGGTTAAAGGGGACATATTATGCAAATGAGCCTTTATATAATCAGGCTTTTATGTAAATGAACTTGTATGTAAATGAGCTTTTAACTGTGTTCCAACATTATTAGTTCACCCAGAGGTATAATTTGATTTAATCTTGCAGGTTTTACTAAATATTGTCCTGCAGTTGAGACTTGAATGCTCAAAAGATTTCAGTTTTTACCATGGACTGTATAAAGATGTGGGCTAAGGGAGTGTGACATCGCCCATAGTGTTCAGCTTCAGTCAAATGAAGCTCACTGAGGCTCGAGGTTACAGGAGCAGAGTTCCATATTTGTAAAAAGGAATTAATTTACGAGTAGGTTAATAAGAACATTTTAAGACAAAAATGAGGAGCCTGACAGCAGCAGTTACAGAGAGAGGGGTGACAATTCTTCAGTGTAAAGTGAACTGGAGTCTATGAAGCTGGAAGATGGAACGTGGCGACTAGCGGGTTAGCTATGTCCATTTATCAGAGCGGTGGGGACTTGCAAGTCATGACTTGGACTCGAGGCAGATTTGAGTCACTATTTTTAGGACTTGAGACTTGACTTGATAAAATGGACTAAGACTTCGGACTCGTCACTCAATGACTTGGGACTTGACTCGGATTTTAGGCCTGTGACTTGATAAGACTTGATGCTTCTCCTAAAAATATATATGTTTCTAGAAAATACTTTTCTCTTTACAGTTGATAAATGTGGTGCTTAATTTTACCCAAGGAACAAACTGGAACATGTAGCTCCCACTTCTGTTTGTTACTTTGGATGTAAGTGAAGTACTGTGATGTGGGATCCTCAAATGTACTACAGTAATATACAGTAAAAAAGGGAGAACTAAATAGAACATGATCCTTCCATTTCAGACACATGACACAATAACATGACAAAATAGCTGTTAAGCACTTTTAAATCTGAATTCTTTCTTTTCTGACCATAATAATTCACACTAAGATCTTGTCAAGACATTTAAAAAGGAAAAATTTACATTTCTACAACTCTTATATACAGTACATACTCACAGATGAATATACCGTGACTTTTTAAGTACAATTTAGTTTAAAATTCATATAAACTGCAAAAATCTTTGGTTTAAAGACTTGAAATGACTTGAAGCTCAAAGCAGACGACTTGGACTTGACTTGGACTTATGGGCCAGTGACTTGAGACTTGACTTGGACTTTCCTGTCTTTAACTTTGGATTCGGACTCGGACTTGAGGTCAAAGATTTGAGACTTGCGACTTGCAAAACAACAATTTAGTTCCACCTCTGTCATTTATTTATAAAGTCTACTGCAAGAAGCGTTTGTTTTTTTTAGATCCCTATTGCATTCTACATGTGACAAAATGTTAAATAAACATCTATGTATGTTGTAAACACCTGGAATAAACCATTATATGCCTTTAATTTCAACATTTGTCATTAATTTCTCCTGTTTTGTTGTATTACTCACTTTCTGTCCGGGGCTGATGTGAGCGTTGACATTCTTGAGAACGGGCTTCAGCGTGGCATCGTAGCGGACGCTCAGATTCTGGATTTTAATCTCTCCCTCATGAGGCCAGCCATCAGGGACCTGAGCTACAGCTAGGACATCAGAGGAGCCATTTAGACCACAGACTGTGTACGAATAAGAGCTCAGCAATTATCACGTAACCACTTGATTTACATGCAAAAAATATGTGTTTGGGGGTGAGTTGAAGCAAAATGAGCCATGTAATTACATGTCGCCATGGGTAATCTAACACTCATTTGCAGAGTTGACTGTAGTGGAGTATTTGGAGAAGGGTGAAGGAAAACATGTATTTAAAGGTGCTCTGCGTAACATTTCTAGTGGAGGGTGCGCTACCTGTTTGTCTCCATGGAATTGTTATTGTTTTGTCTAGAATGTTTTGGAATGTAGATTAAACTGCTGTAACTTTTTGGTTGGGGGTCGGCAGAGGTGGGGACTTGCAAGTCGTGATTTGGACTCAAGTCACTATTTTTAGGACTTGACTTAATAAAATAGACTAAGACTTGGGAAGACTTGATACTTCTCAAAAATATGTTTTTAGAAATACTTTTCTCTTTACAGTTGATAAATGTGGTGCCTAACTTTACAGAAACAAACTGGAATATGTCCTTCCCACATCTCTATTTGTTACTTTGGATGGAACTTAAGTACTGTGAGATGGTACTTCAAATGTAATACAGTAATATACCATAAATAAAGTACAATATACAGTACAATACAGTAATACGCAGAATAATACAGTAAAACAGAAGGACCTACATAGAACATGATCCTTCCATTTCATTGCAGATAATGATTCAAAGATCTTGTCAAGACCCATAAAAAGGAAAACATTGCATTTCTACAACTCTTATATAAATATACCATGACTTTTTAAGTACAGTTTAGTTAAAAATTCATATAAATTGCAAAAATCTAAGCTATATTTGTTACTTTGGTTTAAAGACTTGAAATGACTTGAAGCTCAAAGCAGACGACTTGGACTTTACTTGGACTTATGGGCAAGTGACTCGAGACTGGACTTCAACTTTCCTGTCTTTGACTCGGGATTTGACTCGGACTTGAGATCTTACTTGAGACTTGCAAAACAATTACTTGGTACCAGCTCTGCGGCTCATTCACCTGCTTGTTTCCATGGATATGTCATTGAAATGCTCCACAGTATGACTTTAAACAGCTCTAACTTGCATTTATTCAATAGAGGTGGTTTTATGGCTCAAAAATACCTAGAAAAACAGGCATTCTGACTGTGAGCGGGGTCGCCTCTCCATAGAGCTGACCTTTAACTTGGTCTGGTTTAGTCTCCATGAAGTTAGAAAGGTTTAATGCCATACTGTGAAACATTCTAAGACAAAGCAAAAACATCTACATGGAGAAAAGCATTTGATGGACCCTCTACCAGTTAGACAAATCACGTTTCACTTTTTGTGCTGTTTTTCTACAGACCAAAAGTCTTGAATTGCAAGTATTTCATTGGTACTCACTGAGCAGGCCTTCGTAATTCTCTGGCTCCGTTTTGAGAAGTCCGTTGATTCTTTTGACCGAGCCAAGCTGCACTTCCATATCCGCCAAGTTACGCACCATCCAGTTTAAGTAGTTCGACACCTGATACAGAGAGACAGCAGGACTCAGAGACAGATGGGGTTGAAGTCACGGTGGACACACACACACTTGGCTCAGGCTCAAGTAAACAGTAAGTAAACACATGCGCAGTCTTAAGGCCTTTCATCTGCTGATAACAACTCTGTAGAGGGTGGTTATATTTAGAGCTTCAATCAGTTTCTAAACCAAATATCATAAAAACTTGTTTGAATATAACTGTATTCATGTAAGAGAAGTGCTCTGATACTCTGCCGCTTTGAGAATGTCTGATCTTGCGTGATCTCAGAAGCTAAGAAGGGTTGGGCCTGTTACTATTTGGATGGGAAACTGATGGGAATACCAGGTGTCACAGTGAGGTGGCAGTGGCTCTACAGCAAACTCCTGTTGTGTCCAGATCACTGACTGTGTATAGAAATGGACATCACTAACTCACTAGAAGCCACATTCCAAATATGCTCTATTTATGCTACGTCACAAACCAATAAGATGTTTGGAAAGATGTAATTATAACTTCAAGTGTAGTTCTCGACACTGGGCTCGCCGACCGACTGTGATAAAACCCGTTGAAGTAAATGTTGTCAGCGGTAAAATGAAAACTGCGTAAGTATGTGCTGTTTGGAATCATCTGGAATTTGGCACCCTCATCTCTTCTAATCGCATGTACCCAGTGCGCTCTGAGTCATTCACATTCATTCACAAGTGTACACAGACACTGGGGCAAAGTGACGCTGACAGCATCATCTGCGGGAGCTGAAATCGCATCGCCAACCTGTGGGCCAGTGGATGTGACCGCTCAAACCAATAATGTTTATGTCAAGAGTGGGATTGGAACCGGCAAGCTTCGAATCAGTGGACAAACGCTCTACCAACTGAGCTACTGTTGCCAAAATACAAATATGGAACTTGGCTCCAAATTTTCCCCACAACCGCTAGCTTGGGTGAGCTTCATTTGACTGGAGCCGACCACTATAGATGATGCCACACTCCCTTAGTCTACTGTCGACATTCAATCTCCATGTAAGTAAGTAAGTAAGTTTTAATTTATATAGAGCTTTTCACAGACTTATATCACAAAAGACGCTTTACAGATCATTATTCAATCACTCCATACCCAGTGGTGGTAAACTACTATTGTAGCCACAGCTGCCCTGGGGCGGACTGACAGAAGCAAGGCTGCCAATCTGCACCATCGGGCCCTCAGATCCCCGCCATCACTCACGCACACACCACGTTCATACTAGGCAATGTGGATGAAGTGCCTTGCCTAAGGACACAACAACAGCTTTTTTGCGACTCGCACCCCCCCGTGGCACCTGATTTTCCTAGCGGTCTCCCATCCAAGTACTAACCAGGCCCGGCTCTGCTTGGCTTCGGAGATCTGACAGGACACAGGCTTTGACAAACTGGTATGGCCAAGACAGATCCATATTTTGTTAGGGCCAATCAACTCCCTAAAGAATTACGCATTAAGCTTTATTTGAACACTACACTACGATGAAGAAACAAATCGTGACTACGCAGATCTCTTATCCAGTTTATAGTAAACCAGGGTTGTTTGTGAGTTTGCAGTGAATTCAGATATACTATATGTACAGTATAATTTGTGGAAAATAATCAACATCGTTGCTATGTATTGGTCAAAAATATCGGTAGAGATGATCAGTGGTTTCCATGAGTTCTAAATAATCGGTAATGGATAAAACATATAATTCGATCGCTATACAAGACGCTTCACCCACTTTGCTCGCTATATGGTTTGTGAGTGCTTAACGGCAATCAGTGGAGCTGATTCTGCAGATTGGCAGCCTCACTTCTGTTCAGCATCATCTTAAAACCACTGAGTATGAAGAGCATGAATAATGTAAAGTGTCTTGAAATGCGTCATAAGTGCTTCATCATTGTCATCATCATCTTCACATAAACACTGTGATTCTACTGTAAAGCCGCTCTTACCATGAGGGCGTATGTGAGTCCGAGTCCCACCAGCCCCGTGGAGAGGTGGTTGTACAGAGCGTTAGTGATGGATGCAACAGCTGCCACCAGAACAACACAAGCTCCAACGTACTCCTGAAATCAAACAGGAAGATTATTTATTATTATAGTTATTCGCACTGGATTTACTTTTTATCTACAAGTATTTATTACATTCAAAAACAAGTGTCTCTTCTGAATTAGTTTGAATGTTTTAAAGGCCCTGTATTACACAAAATTGACGAAACACTTGTGAGCTTTAAAGGGATAGTTTGTGATTTTGAACATAGGACCTCATTTCCTAGTGAGCCAGTGTTGGAGACGTGTGGAGACATTTTAAAAAATATTTCATCCAGTCCTTGTATTTGCAGAGGTCACTGGTGCTAGACTAGTGCATGTCAATGGCCATAGTTATCCTGCCACTAAAAACAGTCTTACCCACTCCAAGCACTCAAAGAAAAACAATTCTAATGCCAGACTGTCGATGTAAATGTCTGTGTTGATAGAAAAATTTTAGAGGTAAAACCAACCTTGCATTTGAAGGATTTATGTCTGAGCAGCAGTTGTACTTCCTGAAAGAAAGTTTGGCAGCGGCGGACTGATATATGAGAAAATAGTCCCTCAACATGCGACGATTCATGTGATGCAAGGTTAATTTTATTTCAAACATTATTCTATCAACACAGACATTCACATTGGCAGTCTATCGCAAACATTTTGTATGTGGAGCGCCATCAAAGTGGGATCCCGTTTGTTAAGCGAGAGGTACAGAAGACAAACAGGCTGAGCTCGCACTTTCTTGTTCTTGTGGTTTTACAGCAAGATCACGTCTTGTTCACTTTGCAGTGGAAGGTGTTTTTGGTGAACAGCTGGTGCCTTTCACTTTGACGTTGATTTTTTAAATTCGTTACCAAGGTTGAGCGAGGGATCGGGATTTTGCTTTAATGGCGCTCCACTTTCAAAATGTTCGCTGCAAACTCGGGATGATTTCTTACACAGCCAAAGGTTTCCTTTTTCGTCCTTCCTGTGTATCAATACTGCCCATTGCCTTTGCCTTTCACCATTTTTCAATTCCGCTGGAAAGGGAAACAGTTTGAACGGAGTCACACAGATCTGATTACCTTTTGCAGTTATGGAGCTCGCAAACAAATTTCTCAAGCTGTTTCCCGCTGTCAGGACATCCAACAACCACACAATTACGATGTCCGAATCCCAAAACTAAAATAGGACAATATCAGAACCAGAAACAAAAGCAATATGATTCAAAAGACTCAAAAAAATCGGCTTTGACAATAGATGCATCCCACTGGGAAAACAAACATGGCGGTTTGATGCTCACTTTTTCCGAACATCCTTCCCAGTATGCATTGAGCAAATGATTCTTGATGCATCTATACAACGACTGGATGGAATATTTAAAAAAGTATCTCCACACGTCTCCAACATTCTGGTTCACTAGGAAATGAGGCCCTATGTCCAAAAATCCGAACTGTCCCTTTAAGCCATCTTATAATGTTGTTACCTCATCAAAAACAGACCTGAAGTTGTGTTTTGTTCCATCCACATGTTTGAGTTATCCTTTATTATTAGTCTGTCTACATCTCCAAGCCTAAATATGCAGGGTTTGTGTGTTAAACATGTGTGAATGAAACAAAACACAGCTCCAGGTCTGTTTTTGATGAAGAAACATTATATCAGAACATAGACAAGAAAGTAGAATAATATGGGCCCTTTAAGCATAAATCAGTTGAATGCTAATTTCTTCGGTGAAAAATAACACCCATGTGACAGCAATTACTCGTAATATTCCTCCTCCTGGTGCATACATAAGATATCATAGTATTTAGCATTCCAACAGAGAGAAAAGTCACCCATCAGCATTAGAAAACCTGAGGCAGCTGTTGTTGTTTTGCGAAGTGTCCAAGAGGCTGACAAAAGCATCATTACCATGCGGACCTCCAGCCAACGATTAGCGGCTGTGAGGAACAGAGATGCGATGTTGTTGGCGTCTGTGAACTGCAGTAGCCTCTGTCTGAACCGTGGCTCGTACCTGAAAACACAAGAGGGTGCTATTTTAGGTTAGGTTACGTCAATGTCACATTTATTTATGAAGCACATTTAGAGCTGCACTGTGTAACTTTTCTGATGGTGATGTTATTGCTTTGTCTGGAATGTTTCACAGTATTTAATTAAACCTTTTTATTTTCATGGAGACTAAACCAGACCAAGTTACAGGTCAGATCTGTGAAGAGGCGACCCTACTCAGTCAGAATGTCTGTTTTTCTGGGTATTTTTGAGATATAAAACTACCTGTAATTGAATAAATGTAAGGCAGAGCAGTTTAATGTCATAATTTGGAACATTACAAGCACAGCAACATATCCATGGAAACAAGCAGATGATGGACCCCCAACCAAAAAGTTACATAGTGCACCTTTAAAACAACCACATGTGACCAACGTGATGTACAGGTAAGTGTATGGATAAGACAATACAATAGTTTTTTTGTTTGTTTGTTTGTTTTTATCCATGTAATTTTTTTAGTACTGCCTTTATTTATTTGAGTTTATTATATTTATTCATTGATACTATTGTTATTATTATTTTATCTATTGATTATATTAGTTCCTTTTGCTTGGAACATAATTCTGCTGACTTTTTAGAGTTAAATGTTTTACACTGCTAAACTGTCCTGTTTATAAAATGTGCTATTCAAATAAAGTTGGATTGGATCAGATAAAAATGCACAAAAATACAGTGTAATATTAAAGTTAAAAGGTTAGATTAAGTTATTTGTCATTTGTAGTTAAAACGCATTGAAAAAAGAGACATTAAAAGGCTCCATATTACGCTATTTTCTGATCTATGTTATAATGTTGTTTCCTAATCACAAACAGACCTGGAGTTGTATTTAGTTTCATTCACACAAGTTTAACACACAAATTCTGATTATTTAGGCTGTGTTTTTCTCTCAGACAGAAAACAATCTGTTCTACCTAATGATGTCATGTGGTAATACAGGAAGAGCTCCACTGTGTTTTTAAACTCCATACACCTTCACTAGAATCATTTGGATAATTTCAGCCCTGGAATTGCCAATCTCTGCTGAACTAAAGGTAAAATGTAGCTGTTAACTTAAAAACTACCACTTCATGACATCACAAGGTGGAACAGAGCATTTTGGAGATGTAGACAGACTAATAATTCAGGATTACTCAGACAGTGTGAATGAAACAAAACGCAACACCAGGTATGTTTTTGATGATGTACCGAGATTTTAACATGACTCAAAGCTCATGAGTCAGTTTTTGTGTAATATAGGACCTTTAAAAAACACCACATGGACAAATAATAGACAATCATAACAGACACACTGGCACTGTGAAATAAATAAGCTACAAAGTTTCAGTCGCCGAAATATTATGTTTCTCCATCAAAGTGAAAACAGCATATGGGATGATTGTGAATGATTTTGGTGTTATATGTCAGTCTGTCCTCTGATGTCTCACCTGAGGGCTCTTATCGTGGTGAGGCCTTCCACGGTCTCGGAGAAATGGGAGAGCAGAGGCAGCTGGGTGCTGTCTTCAAGCTGCTGCAGATCCCTGAGACACACAGAGAACAGTGAGTTGAAAATCAAATCAGATACAGCTTTGAGACAGAGGGACGATAAACCTACAATGATGCTTCAGATGTGTTTGGAGGAAATGTATTCTACGGCCAGTCTGTCACACTTAAACCCTCATTTACACCATGAATTCTAATGCAAAAACCACTGTGAAATTGTGTCACTGTTCTACGTTACTACGAGTGATTTTACATACATAGACCGGAAAGGTGTAGGCTGTAGCATAATCTTAAAACCAGTTCATGTTCATAAATACAGCAAGAGGAAACAAGCAAATCAGTAACAGTGCAGCATAGTACTACAGCACCATCTAAGTATTCACGTATCTGCCAAGAGTTAAACATTTAAACTTATTTTTAAAGTGTGAGAGAGTGGTGCACAATTTTAGGTCTTCTGTACAGTTGTTCCAGAGGTCCACACTTTTAACAGATACACAAAATGTCATAATGTTTGTTCTGATTTTCTTTTCTTTTTCATAAACATGACCGTACCTCTGAGCTCATATTGGCTCTTTCGGATTTTGAACCTTTTCTGTATTGATTTTGATAAGAGATTATTGTTTACTTTAAACAAGTGTAAAAGTTGACTAAACTGTAAAATTTCAGAGTTTGAAGGTTTATAAATAACGCACTGGTTGGTTCATTATAAGTTGATAATGTGATTGCTCTTATTGCCTTTTTTTTTGCAAAGTAAAGATTGGATTTGCATTAGTCTCAATCAATTCTCAGTACAGTAAGTTATGTAGGGCATTACCAGCAAGTTGTATAAAAGACCATCGCAATGGGTAAACAAATTAATTACTGTTGGGAAGAAACAGCTTCAATTAAAACAGAAATAACTAATGTTTTTAACATCCACAGACAGTTAAAAGGTTGTCAGTAACATACTGCTCCTCACTGTTTAATCCTTACTTATCCAACCCCCAAACAGCCCACATCATAACCTGCGTCATAATCATAGACTGTATAAGAAGTGGATTAAGGAAGTGTGACGTCACCCATATTGTTGAGCTCCAGTCAAATGAAGCTCACCAAGGTTGGCAGTTATAGGTTACATTTACACTGAAACAAATCACTGTATCACCATATCAAAATATTGGAAACGTCTGCAAGCCTTCCCTATCCACTCAGCTTTGAGCATATTTGTTTACGTTTTACAGAAACAAAATTTATAACCGCATGGCTAATTTGCATAAAGTTAGCGCTCAAAAAACAGCTCGCTCCTTGTGAGCTGATACGATCAGCTTCTGTCGGAACACGACTCAGTGGAATATGAGTGTTCTTTCTGTGACAGAAGGGTGATCTGCTAATGGTGAGTCTGTTCTGTCCAAGTAATTTTCACGATTTCCCATTTGACTATGGTTTGTTTAAACTGTTTCCCAAAATAGCGTCACATGACCGATGTCACAACCCAGCGAATCGTGGTGGTGTGGTCCAATAAGAAAGCAACCAGAGCTCCTACGTCAATGCATCAACGATTTCAAGCGTCCACACAGTGCTGGATCAGATCCATACTCTGATGAATTCGTAGGAGCTGGCGGCACCAGATCGTTCCGTCTCTGGAGTCGTTTTCCATTGGATTAGTGTGAACGAACACTGCATCTGCAACGAAAACGACTCGAATACATACTAGTGTGAATGGGGCCATAGGGACGAAATTTGGAGCTGAGATCCATGTATTGAAATCCGAGTGCGAATATCAATCCGGAGCGAGGCTGTTGAAGGTAATGGCCTTTACTGCACCGCTGGTTTAGCTGGGAGCGGGCGCTTAGTAATGCCGTCAATCAAACCTATTGTTAACACTAGCGGGAGCAACCTTGGGGAAAGGAGGCGCTTGTTATTAATATTTATATCCTGATTTATGGACAAAATTGTGAAATGAAAACACCAGGATCATGTAGAGCGGGTTAAAACGAACATTTTAAGACCAAAGTGACACGCCTGACAGCAGCAGTTACGAAGAGACGGACGATGCATTTTCAATAAAGAGTGAATTGGAGCCAGAACCTCACCCATGCTCACTTCCTATTTAGAAATCTATGACTAGCGGGTTATCGCTACCCATTTATATATAGAACAAGTAGTAGTAGTTTATTTGGTCATTTTGCAGCACTACAAAACAAAAACAAAACAAAACATTAACTACAACCCCATAGATCATAACCGAAAGGATTTAGGCTGAAGTAAAAAGTACTTATAATGCCTAAACCTATTAAACAACGACAGAATTTCAAAAAAGAAAGGCATCGTATGAATAGAAAGTTTGTATTTATAATTTCACTTGCGAGTTACTGTATAAATAAATTAAAACAAACATTTACTGCATAATTCATTCATTCCAGAGCTTTATAACTTTCAAAACATAGCACTTTATACTCTTTTTTTTAAAGGCTTCTACAGTGTTAGACTTTTTCTTTTTTTTTTTAAAATCAGCACTCAGGTTGTTCCATAAACTAACCCCTCTAATAACAGAAATACAATGACTTTTTTCTTAGTTCTTCTCTTAATTCTTCTTAATTCTTTCATTTATGGTCATACAAACTATAATAATGTTAACGAAGGCACAAAAGTTTATCGTTTATGATCGTACAGCCATCTATCGTCCATGCCCATACCCTGAGCCTTACCTGGAGGCCACCCTGAAGTACTTCTGTATAAAGTAGCAGGTGATGGCGAGAGGCAGCAGCGCGATGAGGAAGACGGGGATGACGTAGGAGATGACCCCCAGGGCGGAGGCGCAGAGCAGGGTGGAGCGGCTCAGGCACTCCAGGGTGGTGGGGATGTGCTGGTCGATGGTGTTGGTATCTGTGGAGAATCTGTTCAGGATGCTGCCGAGCGGAGTCGTCTCAAACAGCCTGTCCAAGTGAAAAATGTTTCTTATCAGAGCAGAAACACACCAAGAATGTGAATCATGATAAATAATGATATGCCCCTCTCGAGAAAAGGTATTTAACAAGAGCTGCAGACGAGTTTTGCATAGTAACGACAGATAGCTGCATAAACTAGATGAATAAATGAGAAATAGACTTACATGTAAATGATCAACTTGATTAAAGCGCCTATTTTATGATATTTTCTGGTATATGTGTTATTATAATTTAGTTTCCTCATCACAAACAGACCTAGAGTTTTGTTTTGTTTTATTCATACAAGTTTAACACACAAATCCTGCATATTTAGACTGAGTTCTTCTCTCAAACAGAAAACACTCTGTTCCACCTTGTGATGTCATGTAGTAATAGAGGAAGTGCTCCACTGTGTTTTGAAACTCCATACACCCTCACTGGAATCATTTGGATAATTTCTGCCCTGGATTTGGATCTGGTCTCTACTAAAGATAAAATGTAGCTGCTAATTTGAGCTGTACCACATCATGACATCACAAGGTGGACCAGAGCATTTTGAGCTTTGGAGATGTAAACAGACAATTATGAACAAAATCATTATCACGATTATTTTGGTCAATATTGAAATCACGATTATTCAAATAATTATTTTTTTACTAATATGATGCATTTATTCAGCATTTCTCTCTCTCAAAAAAAACCCCACATTGTTGTTGATAATTTACGCAAAACTTTCAAATTGACACTAAATATAGGCTACAAATATGTACGCTAGAGCAAAAAAATGAATAAAATATGCTGTAAGGCTGAGTTTCCCAAACTTTTTTCCTGGAGACCCATATTTTAAAAGTCACAAAGTCAATAGACATTATTTGTAAATCATAAAATAAAGGTGGATTTGACCATTACTGAACATTAATGAGGATATTTTATTGTTGACTGAGTGATCGTGTCTCTCTGAACAATTAGTATTACTCAAGTTTTAAACAATTGAACCAGTAAAAAAGGATCCGGTCGCATTAAATGAAGCCCATTTCTTTTTCTTTTCAACGTTCAATTGAACCAGCAATATTGGAACAAAACAATCAATAAAATAATTACAAAACGATTATACAATTATAAATATACAAAAACATTTCGGCATTTCTAATGAGGTAGATGGGCCTGTCTGCGTTTTTGTAGTGTGTTCCCGTCAGGGGTGCAGGAGGAGAGCGCAGCAGCAGATCAGTTTTATAGGCAGAACTGTATATTGCAAACCTACATGCAGATTGTGACAAGGCGACCCAAAAAAAATAATGTCTTGGGAAAACAATGCTATAAGGGATAGAGAAACATAAATGTATCCAAAATAACTATATATCCAGCTGTTCTACAATCTCTACATTTAAAATATAAAATAAATATACTTATTTATTTGAAAAATCTTGCAAAATAAACTTATCATGTCAACTCAGTTGTATAAGTTTGGAGATTGTTTGACACACAAATCAAAATTAAATTAATTGCACAGCCTTCATGCAGCATTACTCAAACATGTGTGAATGAAACAAAACACAACTCCAGGAACGTTTGTGAGGAGGTAACAACATTATAATATGACTAAAAGATCAAAACAGTAAATTTCTCATAATAAAGGACCTTTAATTTTTTTTTTATATCAAAAACAGAGAAGAGAGCCTGAGGGGGAAAAAATACAATCATTTTCAGTCATAGATTACCAAGAGCACCTTTAGCTCAAGAATAATCCCTATTTGCACCTGTGTTTACGGTGAGCTGGTGCTTTTAAATTAAATGAGATGTGAAATATGTCCAGGTGCAGTCATCCATGTTTCTCTGCACACACATTTACTGAAGTTTGTGTGTTTATCTGAGTGAAACCCTGGGGCGATTATGGCAGATGGGCTTTAAGGTAATGGGGTGAAAAAAGCTGTGATCTGCATTTATCAGCTCTCTGTTCTTTCTACACGTGTCTCTCTGTCTCTTACCTCATGGGCGCCAGGATGATCTTGTTTAGCAGGTTGTGGTGGAGCTCTTTGGCCACTTTGTGACCGGTCCACTCCACCGCCACCGAGGTAGCCAAACACAAGATAATGCCCAGACAGCACAGGACGCTGAAGACGGACAGGTACCACGAGTGACTGAAGCCGCAGTCCTGAAATGAAAAAATCAAAAGTTAAGATGGAAACGAGCTACTTAACCAATGATTAAGGATTGTGAGGAACAGAGATGCGATGTTGTTGGCGTCTGTGAACTGCAGTAGCCTCTGTCTGAAGCGTGGCTCGTACCTGAAAACACAAGGGGGCGCTAGGTTAGGTTAGGTTAGGTTATGTCAATCAGGGTTCCCACTCTTTTTCACTGACAAAATTTCTAAACTTTTCCATGACTTTTTCATTACCTAAAGTAAATTTTCCATGACTTTATAACACCCTACATGTGTAGAATTGATCAGACTTGTAGGGCTAAATATGAAATGTTAACTCTTTCCACTCACCTTATAGTTTGCTATGATAGTTTTTAAACATTCAAAATAGTGTCAGTGCATTTATTGTTGTCTCTTTTAAACAAAAATCGCATACGTTTGGCAATAGTCATAATAGCCTAATGAGAATTTAACAGAACGCCGTAGTTGTGTGAAAGAGATACTAAAATTCCATGACTTTTCCAAAACTTTCATTGAATTTACAACATTTTTCCAGGCCAAGAAAATTACATTTCCAATTTCCATGACATTTCCAGGATTTCCATGAATGTGGAAACACTGGTCAATGTCAAATTTATTTATAAAGCACATTTAAATGTGAGGGTCCATCCAAGTTTTTTTTTTTATGTTATTGCTTTGGAGACCAAACCAGACCAAGTTACAGGTCAGATCTGTGGAGAGGCGATCCCGCTCACATTCAGAATGCCTGTTTTTCTATGTATTTTTTAGTTCAAGATAATGCCCAAACAGCACAGGACACTGAAGATGGACAGGTACCACGAGTGACTGAAGCCGTAGTCCTGAAATGAAAGAATCAAAGTTAAAGTTAAAGACTGCACACGCTCTGCTGTGGAACATCTCTGTTTTTTATGAGCTGTACATTTGCCACATTAACATGAGAACTTTAATTCCAAATAAAAATGATTTAATTCTGAATAAAAATGGACTGCTGTATCGATATATTTTGAAGAATATTTTTTGGTATAATTTACAAACTTTTTTTTGTTACAGTGCTACAGTTTTGTTGCCTGTTTAGAGGAAGGAAACTCATTTATGCAACACATTTGACAGATTCACTGTTCTGATGATTACATTTTTTTAAATTCACTTTTGGACAAGAAGTGGTTTAACACAGACTTTTAGTATCACAGCCATGATTTAACCTTTATTTTTTATTGAACCCTATAGATTCGATTAGAAATATATCATATCGAATCGACAGTGCACTGTATTGAGGTATGTATCGAAACTTATTAATGATAATCAACCCTATAGGACATGATACATTTTTTTTAACTTCAGCCTACTCCTTTTGAGCACCAGAAATGGTCCCAAACATGCACATGTACATATCCTTCTGTTTGTACCTTATACCTTGCTCAAACAAACAAAAAAACAAAAAAAAGAAAAAAAAAAAGTTTCAGCCCAGACTTTGTGTAATATTAATAGACAGATAATAGACAGGTGTAAGTAGATTCCTGGTGTCTTGGCTTAGATGCCAGATCCGTGCACTTTTCCAGCCCTTTATTCAGTCAGAGGGAGGAGGACAGTTATGTGAAGTGGCAGTAATGTGTCTGATAATGCAGCAGGGCTCTTGAGTGTCCCTGGCCGCTTGCCGTACAGGGGACTACATCCGAATGGAGATTAGATAAAAAGGCCAAACATGAGCTAAGCCAGAGCAGTCGTGCCTGGTATCACAGACTCAATGTATTAAAGTGGGTGAGTGTTGTTACTGGGAATCCAAACTGGCTGAAACCTGGGCATGACATAAGTGAAATGTGAGCGGGCCTGGCATTTAGCGCACATGGATAAAGACACAGGGAATAAATTGTCCTGGAACATGATCACTCGTGGACAGCCAGCGTGGCCCCGCACAGAGCTGAACCTTTAGTCGTGTCTGTGTTTGTTGTGGCTGTTGGAGGCTGCACATGACTGTAATGGTTTAAATGCACGTGCAGTTCTGCTATTCACCTGTAGGGGGCTTCTGGATTAGTAAATCAGCTGCTTTCATCATAATACTCTGAACTGAATGGGCTCATATTACACTATTTTCTGATCTATTGTCCATTAAAATTCAGTCGGGTCATAATGTTTTTGATTACTTGGAAGGAAAGATCTGGAGTGAGCCATTACAGGAATGATAGTGTAAAGGAAATGCTATAGTGCACGAGATATTCACTAGGTCAATGTGTTATAATGTTGTTTCCTCATCACAAACAGACCTGGAGTTGTGTTTTGTTTTGTTAACACACAAATCCTGCATATTAAGGCTGTTCTTCTCTCAAAAAGAATAGACTCTGTTCCAACTTGTGATGTTATGTGGTAATACAGGAAGTGCTCCACTGTGTTTTAACCTCCACACACCTTCACTAGAATGATTTGGATAATTTCAACCCTGGAATTGCCAATCTCGACTGAACAAAAGCTTGACATCACAAGGTGAAACTGAGCTTTGCAAATGTAAACAGACTTTGAACTGGGGTTACTCAACACACAAAAAACACAACTCCAGGTATACGTTTGAGGAAGTAACGGCATTATAACATGACTTAAAGCTCAGAATCCATTTTGTGTAATATAGGACTTTTAAAAACACAGTGCAGCTTTTCCTGTATTAACACATGACATCACAAGGTGGAACCATACAGTAGAACTATAATAAAATCTGGAAGGTGAACCCAAGATGGCGTCGTATTGTTTTCAATGGTCTGTGCTCAATGGTGCATGGGCCCAGAAAAAATTTTCACTTTTCGTATTTACTTCCTCAATACGGGCAAGCTCCTCCCACTTGTGTGACATCTGTATGTGCACGGCGTGGAGCGTTTGGACCGATCAGAGTGAGAGCTGCTAGAGTGAAGCTGGCGCGGACTCAGAACGAGGCTAGGCTAAGTCTTACAAAACTAACTTTTAGGCATTTTGAGGATTTTAAAATGTTTTAAAGTTTATGATGTGAAAATAGAAAAGCATCCCTACAAAATCCAACCTTTGTGAAAGTTGTGGATGCTCTTTCAGCCAAACATGGGCAGTTTGAATTCTTAAAAAAAAAAGCATTGTGCTACCGGGAGCTGCAATACCTGGAGCGGCCACTAGTCTGCCTCGAGCCGAGACAGAAGGAGAATGCCTTATCCAGTTTTTATTCTAGATCCATGGGTGGAACAGAGTGTTTTACGTTTGAGAGAAGAACTCAGCCTAAATAAGCAGGGCTTGTGTGTTAAACGTGTGAATGAAACAAAACACAGCTCAGGTGCTTTTGATAAGAAAACAACATAACATATCAGTAGATCAGAAAATAGCGCAATATGGGCCCTGTAATTTGCTTAAAGCGGGGTGAAAACATCCTTTACCCTCTCATAATATTGACCCAAACTTTGTCAGTTTGTATTTGTCACATTTTACATAGAGACTGCTGCTGCTGCTGGTGCCAGCGGGCATGAGCAAACTCTCCATCTGGGGCTGGCAGCACTTTAGGTCATCTCAACTCAGCGGAAACTCACTCGGGAATTACACAAAATCTGTTATGTAACTCGGCTGGCGTGCACACAAAAACAAAAAAGAAAACAGATTTGCATAGGTTAGAATCCTGAGAGTTTGAAACTGAGCTGGAGGACAGCTTGGAAATCAATGTGGAATTTACAGTTTAAAAGGTTAATATTACACTATTTTCTGATTTACATATGTTATAATGTTGTTTCCTCATCAAAAACAAACCTAGAGTTGTGTTTTGTTTCATTCACGAAAGTTTTACTGCATTTTTAGGCTGAGTTCTTTTCTCTACTGTGGTCCAAAGCAAGATCTGACGAAGGCTTTTTTTGCCAAAACGTTATTCAAAAATTTAAAAAAAAGCTTTTGGACATCGGCCATCTGAGTGTGCTATGCATTTTTTATTTTACTATTCCTTGCATTTGCACCTCTACAAAAACCTTGGTGTGGGTTTCCTGTTTCATTTAAGTTCTTCTGTGGTAATTCAGGAATGAAACAAAACACAACTCCAGGTATGTTTTTGAGGAGGTAACAACATTATAATGTGGCTTAAACCTCACAAGAGTCAAGACCTTTAACTCAGATTGCAGATTTATTGATGTGGTTTAGGATTAATATCTCTGCAAGTTTTTGTTTCACGTGGATAATCTCAAAGTTCAAAGTCTTCTGTGTTGGTATAAATAAACAAAAGTGATTTATTTTTCGCAGTAGCTTTAAAAAGTGGTGCCATTTTTCAACCCCAAAAATTTTAATGTGAAGGTCTTTGAGCCGTAACATTAATACAGGAAGTTTATGGACCAGATCCCCAACAAATAATGATCGATGGGTCAATGTGGATCATATAAAAACAGTTAATCTTCCATAAACTTACACAGGCCACTGCTCTCAATATGAAATTAAAACATAATCAAATTCTAAATTGCAACTACTGATACCTACTGATCTGAGGCTTGTTTAATGTGAGCTTTACTTTAACATAATCTGATCAGTAAGAGCTGGTTTAGTTGAAAATCAAACACCTAAACAGGACCACGAACGCTCGTATTAATCACAGGCTCCTGAAAATGTGCCGTTTAAATAAATTTTGTATTTTTATATTGAGTTTTCAGATTATTTTAACAGTTTTTAGGCAGTGTTTGCAAATCTGTGTATTGTGTCGCCATGGTAACCGCTAAACGTTCCACCGTGGAGATTAAAGTTGAAGTCAAGACCGCACTAATTGAGACCAAGACCTGTCCAAGACCACAGGGTCCCGAGACCAGGACAAGACCAAGACCTGTGAGAGTCGAGACCGAGACAAGACCAAGACCACGGCCCATCGAGACCAAATCAAGACTATCTTTGTCATATTTTACATTTATTTGTATTTTGGCACATATATATCAATGTTTTTTTTTTTTTTTTAAATAAATCTGTCTCCATTTGATCGGGTTAATCTTCATAATGTCATGGTGTTAATTTTCATTGAATAAATTTTCTGTTCTTGACCCGGTTTTATTTTGTATTTCTCTAGCCGAGTGTGCTTTGACTTCCTGTTGTATTAATTGTTTGCCCCGCCCTAATGTGTCTCACCTGTGTGTGCATATATACCCTGTGTTCTCCTTTGCCCTTGGTTGCCCTTGGTTGCCCTTGGTTGTTTCATTGTCATTATGACTCTCATGTCTGTTTTGGATTTTGTGTTTGTTCATTAAACAAATTTGGAAATGCAGTTTTGCATTTTGGGTCCTACTTCTTCTCTAGACGTGACACATTTAGGCTTAAAATAGGCCAAGTAAACTGCTGCACTTAAACACCCCTTTTTTGGACCCTGATCCACAGTTTGAGTTTAATCTCACTTCCACTGGCACTTTACAGAAAACAACTTCAAAATTAATCAAGTGGGTTTTTTCAAGTTCATAACATTTACAGTTACATTATCTTACTGGTTTTGCAGTGAACTTGAGTAGCCTCTTGCACATTTACCGGCTGTAATTAAAGGGACAGTCCGGAATTTTGGACATAGTTGGTGTTGGAGATGTGAATGTCTGTGTTGATAGAATAATGTTTGAAACAAAACTAACCTTGCATCACATGAATCGTCGCATGTTGCATAATGAACATATTTTCAAGATACTGTCATTTTTAAATCCATATACATGCAAGGGTGATTAAAAAAGAATGAAATTTTAGATGCAGCTCACTATTAAGTTGAGCTATTTTTAGAACCAGACTGCAGGCGACTCATATAGTCCTTGGGGGCGACCTGGTTGCTGGACCCGTGTTGGTGATCCCTGCTCCAGGTGATATCAGTCCACCGCTGTCAAGGTTTTTATCAGGAAGTAAAACTCGCTGCTGCTGCTCAGACATAAATCCTTCAAATACAAGGTTGGTTTTACTTCTAAAATTATGCTATCAACACAGACATTTACATCGACAGTCTGGTGTAATAATAGTTTTGCTTCGGGTGTTTTGTGGAGTGGGTAAGACTGTTTTTAGCGGCAGGATAACTATGACCATTGACATGCACTAGTCTAGCACCAGCGACCTCTGCAAATACAAGGACTGGATGAAATATTTTAAAAAGTGTCTCCACACGTCTCCAACACCCTGTCTCACTAGGTATAGCGGCTATAGGTGAGTCGGTGGCAAGAAACACGGTAGCGGTCAAACACAGTGCGTAACCTCTCGTATTTATCCCCGATAATGGTAAATTCCTGCTGCATTTTCGGATGCACAAATAGAAGCAGGGAAGAAGGAAAATGTCTTTTTCGTATTCCGAGTGAAAAGAACCGCCAACGGTGAATTAAATGGCTTTCAAACATCCGCAGAGCAAACGTAGAAGATCAGACCGCATGTGTTGGGCCCATTTCTTGACAGGTTTATGCATTTCTGTTAAATAAATTATTTTAATGTGTAATTTCAATAAATTTTAAGACAAAATTTGTCGTCTTTTTGACAGTACTGTGATCCGAATCATCACACCACAACTGAATTTGGGACCCAAATACCAGAAAAACAAGGTCACGCTTTGTAGGGGTTTGTAGGGGTTGAAAAGGGTGATTTGTCCATCGATGCTTTTGACCAAATTCTGGTCAAATCGTCTTCGGTCCTCTGCCGTTAGAGTGGATAAATATTGTAACAAATGAATACTGTATTGAAAACGTAAAACAAGAAACAAAAGCAATAGCGGTCAACTAAAATTACGGATACCCAACCAATGTCTCTCCTCCTCCTTGGCCCAGGTGAGTGTGCACCATTTATGCCTTACCGTGCACGCACGCACACGCACACGCACACGCACACACACACACACACACACCTCACACTCATGTGACCCCACCTCCTGTCAGGGGAGCAGACATACACACACACGCACATGCACACTATGCCCAAGTGTCTCCTATTACACTAGGAATGAAGTCCTATGTCCAAAATTCCAGCCTGTCCCTTTAAATATGTTCGTACTCAATGAGTGTCAGACCTTGAGACTGAGACAAGACGGAATACAAATGTGCTTGAGTCCAAAATGAGACCAAGACCGGTCTCAAATATTATGACACTCATAGAGATACATGAAAAACAATTTTCTTCAGCTTCATACCCCTACTCCCTCTCTCCCTGTTACCTGAACGATGGAGCAGTTACGCGCCGTGGCTTCGATCTTCGCCGAAATCACGTGCGACGTCCAGTGAGCGAGCCAGTAGTCGATCGCGACCATGAGCGAGTGTTTGAGGAGCTGGGACAGGAGCAGGAGGCTGAGCAGGAGGACCCCCGCCGAGGACAGGTACATGCCACAGGAGCGCCAGGGGATGGTGGCGCGCTGACGCATCACCTGAGAGAGGTTATCATCGTCCTCACTCTCCACTGACTCCTCTGAGAACACAACAGCCACTCAGTCAGGAGGACGGGTTAAAGGGGCATTATGGAACTTTTCATGTGGAGGGGCGGCCACTTTCTGATGTTATTGCTTTGTCTGGAATGTTCCACAGTATGGCATTAAGTAGAGCTCCATGATATGATATAAAGATGCAATATTTGATAACTTTTGTATTACAATATTTTTTTTTTTAATATAAGTTTTGGCACAACAAATTTGAAACATACCCAAAAAAATTAACCACACTACACAAGACCACACTAAAGCCCTATTTACACAAGATTAGTATGACCTGTGGACCTTTGGTGATTTGTAATAACTGCGGAAGATGCCTGAGAGCTTAATCCCGTGCGAATGTGCCATGTGTGAGATTTGTAAAAGTAAAAATTCCACCGCAAATTGTCTATTATATTTCACTAAACACAGACGTCCACTGATAATACTAGTGCCGTGCGAATCTGCGTCTTTGTGTTTGTTATAATTGCGTCCTTTTTTCTCTTTCCTTTCAGCGATCTTTTTTCTTTCAATTTCAGTCAATGTCAGTAAAATAGAGTAATTTACGGACTTTGCTTATCCCGTGCGAATGCGCTGCAGGTAGCACAGAGGTTTGTCGGTAATTTGCAAATTACCAGACGTCCTCAGGTTGTACTTATCCTCTGTGAATAGGGCTTAAGACAAACACAATGTAGGACATAATGGTATAAATCCTTAATACAATTTTATTTTATTGAGTTATTGCAGTAGTCAATATTGCATTGATATTTTTAAAGTATACAGGGTTCCCACTCTTTTTCACTGACAAATAGGGATGTAACAATAACGAAAATATCGTGATATTGTATCGTCAGAAGTCCCACAATAATATCATGGGCTGTCACAATAAATCGAATCACAAAAATCCTTTGCTTATATATTATAATAGTTCATGAACATCGGGAACTACATATCCCATGATTCATGAAGAAATATGTTTTTACTTGAATTCTTGGGAGTATGATGGTAATAATTCACATCAAAAACTTGTCAGGGTAAAAAAGTGTCCTATCTACAATTATATCAGCCACTCCAAAATATCGCAATAAATATTGTACTGTGAGCTGCATATCGTGATAATATCGTACAGAGAGATTTGGATATCGTTACATCCCTACAGAAAGAATTTCAAAACTTTTCCATGCCTTTTTCATGACCTAAAGTTAATTTTACATGACTTTACAGCACCTACATGAGTAGAATTGATGAGACTTTTAGGTCTAAATATGAAATGTTAACTCTTTCCACTCACCTTATGGTTTGGTATTATAGTTTTTTTTAACATTCAAAATATTGTCAGTGCATTTATTGTCGTCTCTTTTAAACAAAAGTTGCAGATGTTCAAAAATAATCATAATAGCCTAATGAGAACTTAACAGAACGCTGTAGTTGCGTGAAAGAGATACTAAAATTCCATGACTTTTCCAAAACTTTCATTGACTTTTCCAGAATTTCCATGACTGTGGGAACCCTGAATATCTTGCGCATCCCTGGCATTAAATTCATAAAAACACATTTGTGCCAAGTTACAAGTAAATCCTGTGGAGATGCAAGCCCGCTCTCATCAAGCTTTTTTATTTTTTTTTTGCCATACAACATCTGTGCCTGAATAAATGCAAGGTTGATGTTTAATGCAATACTTTGGAGCATTCCAGATAAAGCAATACTATCCCCATGGAGACAAACAGGTGGCAGACGCTCCACCAGAAATGTTGCATAATGCGTTTGTTTTTAAAGCTCCTATATTACACAAAACTGACTCTTGTGAACTCTTAACCATGTTATAATGTTGTTACCTCCTCAAAAACAGACCTGGAGATGAGTTTTGTTTTGTTGACACATGTTTGAATAATCCTAGTTTATTAGTCTGTTTACATCTCCAACTCAAAATACTCTGTTCCACCTTGTGATGTCATTAAGTTGTAGTTTCAAGTGAACAGTTCCTTTTATCCCAGTGTAAAAATGCAGGTTTCGTGTGTTTAAATATGTGTGAATGAAACAAAACACAACCCTGCGAATGTTTTTGATGAGGAAATAACACTATAACACAGATCAGAGAATAGTGTAATATGGGCTCTTTAACTAATACTGGTAAATATTACATTTTTGTATTTATTTTTTTCTAAAGCATTCCTCTCATGAATATCAAGGCAAAGTTCAATTGTCAATCCCATGCTTTTCCTCTGCTGACTCACTGCTTATGAACTCTTTGACATTTCTGACAGATCCGCCCTCCCCCATTTTCATATTTGCCATGCTGGAATTTCTAAAAAAAAAAAAAAAGGACATCAGAGAGGAAAAACAAGCCCGCTACAAGCTACAAAATCACAAAATCAGCTTAAATCTCTCCACAAATACAGGGAGGGTAACACAGCAGCCATCCCACACACAAGGGTTAAAGTAGATCATGTTTCGAAGCACACTCTACTCCAATGTAAATCTACCACATGACATCATGCTGCAAGCGTTGGCATGAGTTTGCATGTGGGGGTCTACTCCTACAAGCTGGAAAAGAAGCAGGGTAAGAAGGCAAGAAGGCAGGACTACAGGGCTACAGGGCTACAGGACTACTACAGGGCTACTGCTGTATATCTGTGATCATGCTGCTACTGCTGGAGTAACAAAGGGGAAAAAACAAAACGGGGTAAAATAGGTGAAACTATAGACTACCAGTTAAATGTTTGGACACATTTTTCATTTAATGTTTTTTTCTTTATTTTTATTTTCCTTTCTTTACACTGAAGGCTGCAAAACTATGAAGAAACACATACAGAGCAGTAAATAGAAGTTGAGTTTAGTTTCAAATTCAACCTATCTTTGCTTCGCTTTGATCAATGCTTTGAGCACTCTTGGCTTTCGCTAATGAGCCCTGACAAGCCACATCTGTGAAGTAGGGCAGGGTGATTTGTGAAAATATCTCACTGTGGCAGCAATTATGCCGACAGCATAGCGATTATGGTTTTATTTGTGATTTATGTTTTAATAGGAACTTCCTTCAGAACTGTATTCCGGGTGTGAGTGACTTGGTAAGCCCCCCTCGTCCCGATTCATAGTCTGGTGGGAGCGTTTCTGGATCTTAATGGCCTTCCTGATCCAACAATGGGATTTGGGTCTCTCTGTGTCTATGACCTGAGCATATTCCCAATCCATGAGATGGCTTTCCCTTTCGCAGTAGACCTCTGCACCTGAGATACAGTTCTGAAGAAGTCAGACTGCAGATGGTGCTGTCGTCCTACTGTTCCAAATTGGAAGATTTTCTAATTGCAAATTAAATTATATTTCAATGACCGGTAATCTTGCAGCTTGGAAACACATTACCCCTGTTTTATCTTCTTTTCACTGGCTGCCTGTGTGTTTTAGAATTGATTTTAAGATTTTACTGATCACTTTTTAAAGCTTTTAACCCCCTACAATCCTCCCGCAATCTTAGATCCTCAGGCAGGTCCCTTTGGTTGTTCCAAAGTCCAGGCTCCGGAAAATGGTGATAGATCTTTTTCAGTCGGAATGACCTGCCTGAGAAGATAAGATTATCAGTATCATCTTTAAAATCACTTCTTAAGACCATAGACTGTATAAAAGAGGACTAAACGAGTGTGAGTCACCCATAGAGCCTCTCAAATGAGGATCGCGATGCTCACAGTTACAGGAGCGAATTTGGACCCAGGCTCTATGTTATGAATAGGATTTTTTTGATGGACAAAATAACAGAAAAAATTCAGGATCATGTAGAGTGGGTAAACACAAACATTTTAAGACCAAAATGACAAGGCTCACAGCAGCAGATACAGAGAGAGGGGCCATAAGATCCTAATGTAAGTCAATTGGAGTCAGGGTCAGAAGGAGCTGGAAGAACCTCCTGGCGAATTTCCTATTTGGCACTCGGCGACTAGAGCGTTAGCTATCTCCACTCGTATATACGGTCTATGTTTAAGACTCATTTTAATCTGTTGGCCTTCCTTTAACTGGTTTTAGCTTGATTTTATCCCTTATTTATTTTTATTCTATTTCGTTTTATCGAATGGTTTGCATCACTGTCTGTTCTTGTATGCTTTCTGTTTGCTATTTTTATGTTTTTTGCATTGTTCTTTGCTGCTTGTACAGCACTTTGTTTTTAAAAATGCTTTATACTATAGATTTATTATTATTATTATTATTATTTCAGGTGACTTGAAGCTCATTGAGAGAAGGCCAAGGGTTTGCAGCGCTGCCAACAAAGCTAAACAAATTCCATACATTTTCCTTCATATATTTGACGTCTTCGGTATTTCCAACGTAGAAAGTAGTAAAAATAAAGAAAAAAACACAGCTAGAGTTGTGCCCAGACTTTTTCCTGGTAGTGTATCTGTCATGGGGGAGAAGCCGCTGCAGTTTCCTTTCACAATGCCACATGTCTCCTCACAGTTGTGGTGCTTGAGTCATGCATTCAGGCCACACCTGCTTGATCGAACAAGAGCGCAGCAGCTTGTGTGGGACCCATCGCACAAGTCCAGGCAGGCGGGCCCCCAGTGCACAGAAAACAACACAGAACACAGGTAAAGGGGGCTGCACCTCTGACTTATGGGTGCACAGGTTAAAGATGCACTGTGTAACTCTTCTGATGGAGGGTCTGTCAAATGCTTTTCTGTGTGGCGATGTTATTGCTTTGTCTGGAATAACAAATATATCTTGCATTTATTAAATTTTAGGAGGTTTATCTCTCAAAACTACCACAAAAACACTGTGAGTGGGCCAACTTCTCTACAAATCTGACCTGGTGATGTGTTAAAACAATAACAACTACATGGAGTCAAGCAGGTGACGGACCCTCTATCAGAAAAGTTACGCAGTGCACCTTTAAACATGAACACATGAGAGAGGCTGAGTGTGTGGTCTCAGCTCTGACTCTGGTCTGGCAGGTGTGAAAGTCAGCCCCACAGACAACAATCAGGGAAAATTATAAAACCCTTGTGCATTCATATAAAACAGTATATAAAAACACAAGGGGTATTCAGGTTGGGGGTGTATTGCATAAGCATATACTGTCATTATGCTTATGTTACTGACACATTAGGAGAAATCATATTATTCTTTTAAATTTGACTTTGTTTAAAGGTCCTATATTACACAAAATTGACTCTTGAGAGCTTTAAGCCATGTTATAATGTTGTTATCTCGTCAAAAACAGAAGTTGTGAAGTTGTGTTTTGTTTGATTCACACTTAACTATTAGTCTCTATTGCCAAAGCTCAAAATGCTCTTATGATCTCATGTAGTAGTGAACAATTACCTTTCACCTTTTGGAAATGCAGTTCCAGGGCTGAAATCATCCAAATGATTCTAGTGAAGGTGTATGGAGTTTAAAAACACAATGGAGCACTTCCTGTATTCAGTAGCAGAGTTTGCAATTTGGAGGCCCTAGACCCGGGGTGTCAAACTCAAATTCACAGAGGCCAAAATTTAAAAATGGGACTAAGTCGTGAGCCAAATTAAATATTTATTGAAAAATTTCAACAACATCTTCATGTTGTCTCTTCTTTCGAGATATGTAATGTTAAAATAATAGTTTAGCTTGTTCATTGAATCCAGAACAAGCATAATATAAAATAATAACACAATTTAAAAAAAATAATGTCTCTATAGTCTATCTGTAGCTGGCAGGCAGCTCTAATACATATTTGATATGATCTTGAGAGCCAAATATTATTATATCGAGGGCCAAATTTGTTTGACATGTCTGCCCTAGACGAACTTGTGTTTGGGGCCCTCACTATAATGCACCTTGTTTATTATTTAAAAAAAATATATATTTATTGTCTGTTTTTCTCCATTGTTCTTGAGACATGCACATCTCTATTTATTTGAATTATGGTGGATTGGAAATTTGTCTTATTAGTTAGGTTGCCTACTAGATCACCAGAGTTGAAAGTAGTTTTATTTTTTTGCTAGTACAATTACATTTTTGTTGACATCCATTACATATGATATTATTTCTCATGATTATTGTTTGTTTATTGTATTAAAAGTAAACTACTCTCATTTAATGTCATATTAAGAGAAAATTAAATTGCTCTGAGGTCTCAGCTGTTAGTGGCACTGAGGGCAATCGGTTGGGGGCCCCTCCAGGTTTGGGGCAGCCTCCTACTTTTGCGTCATGGTAGCACCGCCTCTGCCTGCATTACGACATGAAATTAAAAGTTTTAACAAAGTTTCTGTTTGAGAGAAGAACTCAGCCTAAATATGCAATGTGCGTTAAATATGTGTGAATGAAAGAAAAAAACACAACTCCAGGTCTGTTTTTGAAAAGGAAACAACATTAGAACAGATCAGAAAATAGTGTCGTATGGGCCCTTTAAAGAAGTTATTGCCATTTAAAGGAAATGTTTAGTCAAATATACTGCCTTCAATGCCTGTTTGATTTTTATTACTACTAATGCGCACTGAGTGACCACAAATATACAGTAATTTGAAACCATTTTGTTCTAACCAGTGATGGATAATGTGGGAGTCAAAATAAACAGAATTTTCTTCACTCAGGAAATAAACAAAGAAACATTATTGCATTATTTAATTTGGCCAAACCTGCATAATGCTTAAAGCTGTACTACGTAACTTTTTTCTTGTCTCCATGGAAATTTTATTGCTTTGACTGGATTGTTCAGCATAAAGACTTTATCTATCTCCACTGAGTTAGTTATGATTTGATTGAATAAATGCGAGATACTGTGGAACATTCCAGGAAAAGCGATGATATTTCCATGGAAACAAGCAGGTAGCAGAAGTCTCATAAAAAAGTTGCACACTGCAGCTTTAAATAGGACTGTACTTTGTTGGTTTTAGACATTAAACAAGTGTTATGAGTGTGTTTATAAGTAGCACATGCATTATGGGTATGATTTAAGAGAGATGGGCAGAGTTAATAGAGTGTACATTATAATAAATAAATAAACATGAATTACTGTGACCTACCACCTTAAGCAGAAGCGTAACATGCCTTTAAATACATATTCTAGGATTAGGGTTGATACTTTGCAGTGACTTCATGCTGGGGGTGTTCTACATGTGTGTTTAGGATGGTGAACACTGTCAGAAAGTTTTAAGATTGTCTGAAAAGTCAAGAAAAAACACAAAATGGATGTAAAGAACACATTTTCAAGAGTTTGTGATCACTACGAGGGTTCACGGTCCAGTTTAGGAGCTTGATTTTCAACCAAAAGGTGAGCAGGTAATGTAATAGGGTGGCCAGATGTCCCTATTTACCCGTGACATTCCCAGTTTTGAGCCCTTTGTCCCCTGTCCAAGTGGATTTATCCAAAATCACTGATCTGACCCAGTTTTACATAAGAAACATCCTTATTTTTGACCAATCTGATCCCTGTCAACAGTAAAAAGAGTCGTAAATTGTAATTTGTTTAAGTAAAATACAAAAAAAATCTGCTTAAAAACGACCAAAACGCAAAGAAAATGTGACTATACTGCCTCACGTTAGTCAGGAATGGTCTCTGCATAACAGTTTTCCTTAATTACGAACTCGTTTCACAATTTGACGATAACCAACCACCAAAAAATGAGAACGTCCCAGTTTTTTATTTTGAAATTCTGGTCACCCTAAACTGCAATTTCACTTGTTTAACAGCATAAAAGAATGAGAACTTCGCACATTGATTACTTGAGATGGAGGAGAGGGAGCAGCCCAAGAACATAGAGAAAAATCCCGCACACCGTCTTACTTGCAAATTGTGAGATTTATTAAACAAACCGTGCAACGTTTTGGCACTAGGCCCGGTTTGTCCTAATAAATCTCACAATTTGCAAGTAAGACGGTGTGCGGGATTCTCTATGTACTTGTTGAACAGCAGAAACCTTGCTAAGTTAGTTCTTTATGGTCAGTTTGCATTAAAATAAGCTTTATTTTAATGTAATCTGAAGTCTTATCATCACATCCCCAGGGAATATTGAAGAAATCAGCTGCAAAGTATCAACACGTATTTTATAGCTAAGAAATAACTCTCAAACCCGCCCGCACGTATTGTTTGTATTGCCATTGCCATTGCCTTGACCTTTGACCCCTTACCTTCCTCCTCTTCCTCCGTCCTCACCGCCTCTCTTGAATACATGGCCCTGCGCAGGTTTTTCCTCTCCAGATCGGTCACGCTCTCCGCAACAGTCTCCTAAAGGCAGACCACAGTAATCTTGTTTATGCTTTCAAGGGATCAGGTCCAAAGTGTGAATTATTACGTTCAATAAGTCCCTGATACAATACCAGCGTTCAGCTTTTTAAAGTGTTTACCTTCTCAAACTCCTGGTCCTTCCTGTGCATCAGCGACTTCCACTGCTCGAACAGCTCTGGATCAGATTTTTGGATGTCTTTCAAAGTGCCCTCTGTCTGGATGGTGCCATCTTTCATTGCAATAATCTGCAGAGGCAAAGGAGAAATCTGTTTAGCTACGACAAAGCAGCCTCCCTAATGGCCTTGAGATACGATTTAGTATTCAACTGTGTGTGGAAGAACAGCAAAGCAACCACAAACTACGTGATTAAGTAGGATTGTTAAAAAAGTAAATAACTAGATATTAATCAATGCACTTATGATAAACTAGGGTCAAAACCATAGACTGCAAATATAAATTGACATAATTAACATGCGAGACCAGACCTGGGCATGGTCCAGAGTCCAGGCCACATACGGCCCTTTGGTCGACTCTGACCAGTCTGTTTAAGCTCATTTAGAATTACAAAATACACATATTTTATTATTTTACCTCATGCATGGACTAAAGCTGCATTGTTTTTATTATTATTTTATTTTAGAGGTGTTTTTTAAAATGACATTTTTAGTGAGGCAAGCTCACTAAACCAGAACTAAACCAGGTCTAAACCAGGTCTAAACCAGAACTAAACTTGTACTAAACCAGGTCTAAACAAGGACTAAACCTGGACTAAACCAGGTCTAAACCAGGTCTAAAGCTGGACTAAACCAGGTCTAAACTAAGACTAAACGGGTTTAGTGGTTTTCTGCTTTTTATAAACGAAATACAATTAATATTTTGCTGAATATATTATATTTATTTCCTGTTTCTCATGTGGCCCCATGGAAAAAATAACTGCCCACCCCAGTGCGTGAGAGTCCAGTGAGAGTCCCAAATAGAAAGTGAGTATGGGCGCACTTCCAGACTAAGGGAGCGTAACATCACCCATAGCGTTTAGCAACAGTTAAATGAAGCTCACTGAGGCCTTCAGTCTGACAGCAACAGTCAGAGGTGACAGATTTTCGATGGAGCTGGAAGCACATCCATGCTCACTTCAACTAACAGGTTAGGTATGTCCATTTAATATAAATATCTTACCCAGTCTGCGTGGGGGAGGTACTGCAGTTTGTGAGTGACCAGGACCACGGTTCTCTTCTCATCTCGGAGCATATTTAAAATGCCCTCCTGCATCAGATGGTCACTCAGGTGGATGTCCAACGCTGAGAACGGATCATCCTATTAAAATGTACGGGTGAAAAAAAACACAAAATAATTAGGTTAAATTAATTAGTATTTAAATGTAGTTCTTTAAATGGGTCAAGAGGACTCACAGGGCTTCACAGAAGGTGCAGAGGTAAAGAAAAAAAACAGAAAAACTCAAAAAAGAAAACAAAAGGGATAACAATTCATGGTACATGTATGGATAAATAAGAAAATAAAGATTGCTCAAACTTGCCTTTCACAATAACACATTTTGAAGCATAATATAAGGCTACAGAGAAACAGACACTAAGACAATAACAAAAAAGCAAGATAAAACAAGAAATTTTCGGTAAACCATATAAAGTATCATTAAAATGCGTGAGCTGCAACAAATATATACCATAACGAACCAATAATTAACAATATAAGTTATTTATTCTACCTTCTACAGCTGAAGTTTGATTGTATTCCCAAAAAATGTCACAAATGCCCCTAATTTCGTAAAATAAATGTGCACACGAAAAATATTGAGCCACAAAATCGACTGTTCCAGCTTCATGTATTGAACAATAAGTCGATATGGTCGATTATTGTGACAGGCCTGTGAATCTTTCTGGAATTAATCACAAGGGAAATATTGTTAAAAGCCCTGAAAAGTCAATTTTGCATAATATGTGTCTTTGAATATACATTTGGGAAAAAAAAATTGACTGATTGCTTTGAAACCAATTTAATTTGACCGAGACCTAGGGGAGTTAATTACTGCTTCATAAAGGACTTAGGAGGAGAAAGGGTTAGGGAATTGACTGATTGAGCATTTCTAAGCCTGAATCATTCGTAATTAATAATTTGTTCATTATGTATCAAGTCTCTCTTCATGCTTTATTAAAGGTCCTATATTAAATTGAATTGACTAGAGCTTATTTTGTTCAATATCAAACTCATGATTATTCAAATGATTATTTTTGTAGTTACACGATGCATTTATTCAGGATTTCTCTCTCTCTCCTTGTTGTTGATAATTTACACAAAACTTTCAAATTTAAAATAAATATAGGCTACAAATATGTACCTTAGAGCAGTTTTGGAATGTATAAAAATGAATAAAATATACTTTGAACATGAAATAAGGAGTAGAAAAACATAAATGTATTAAAAATAAACTATATATCCATCTGTTCTGCAATTTCTATATTAAAAAAATTAAATAAACTTTGTTAATCTTCTCGTTTCAACTTGATTATTTGAGTTTGGACACCATTTGACACACAAATCGAAATCACGATCAAAATTAAATTAATTGCACAGCCTTAGAATTGACTCTTATGAGCTTTAAGTCATGTTATAACACTGTTTCTTTCTCAAAAACAGACCTGGAGTTGTGTTTTGTTTCATTCACACATGTTTGAATAACCTTTTAATATTTGTTTGTCTGTAGTTTTTGAGTAAACTACAGCTTATAGTTCACATAAACCATAAGCACTGAAAAAAACAGTAATTTTAACAGATTTTTGAGTGCCGTGCACCACATAAAATCTTTTCAGGGTCAGAATTAATACATAGAGCACACCGGATTATAAGGCACACTGTTGATTTTGGAGAAAATTAAAGGATTTTAAGTGTGCCTTGTAGTCCGAAACATACGGTACATACTTTACATGCATCTTTAATGTACAAAGCATGGATCAAATTCAGTAGGGCTGAAATCATCCGAGCAGTACTGGTGGAGGTGTACAGAGTTTAAATACACTGTGGAGCACTTCCTGAATTACCACATGACATCACAAGGTGGAACAGAGTCTTTTTTTGTTTTAGAGACCACAGCCTAAATATGCAGGGTTTGTGTGTTAAACATGTGTGAATGAAACAAAACACAACTCCAGGTCTGATTTCTGATGAGGAAACAATATTGAGATCAGAAAATAGCGTAATATGACCCTTTTAAAGTAAATTAAAGTACAGTTATTATGAAATTTTATGGACTATTCTGATCTGTTTTTTGATCAGTTGTAGCTGTTTAATCTTGACATTTCCCCTCAACCTCCCACTCACTCTCTAATCATTGACATCACAACAACAAAATCTGCAAATACCTGACATTTTCATATCAGAACTCCCTGTTACAGCCCCGGACTCAACTTACAAAGACTGTCTGAGCTTCTGTGTCAAAACTGTGTGAATGCTGATCATGGCTGACAGAGCGCACGTAAGGTTAAAGGTATATTGTGTAATTTTTCTAGAGGAGGGTCCGTCAGATGCTCTTCATGGAGATCAAACCAGACCAAGTTACAGGTCAGATTTCAAAGTCTGAATGCCTGTTTTTCTAGTATTTTTGAGCTATAAAACCACCTGTTATTGAATAAATGTAAGGTAGAGCTGTTTAATGTCATACTGCGGAACATTCCAGGTAGAGCAATGACGTATCCTTAGAAACAAGCAGGTGATGGACCCTCAACCAAAAAGTTACAGGATTTTTCTGACTATAAAGTGCACCAGATTATAAGGCGCAATAGGCAGAACTGAGACTGGGACTGAGGCCAGGACCAGACCAGGACCAGACCAGGACCAGACTGGAACTGAGACTGGGACTGAGACCAAGACTGAGATTGGTACCACACCAGGACTGAGACCGGGCCTGACACCAGGCCCGAGACTGGGACTGAGACCAGGACCAGACCGGGACTGGACCAGACCAGGACCAGACCGGGACTGAGACCAGGACCAGACCAGAACTGAGACCAGGGCTGAGACCAGGACTGAGACCAAGACTGATCATTATCCATTATCTGTTTTTTTCATTTTGGTTTTAGAGACAAATAACGAAGAAAATTGTTGTTTTTTTCATTTCCTTATTTTCTGAAAAACAAATAAACAAATGATACGCGGATTCTTATAGTCTGAAAAATACACATGACATTACATGCACCTTTAATGTACAAAACACTGGATCAAACTCACCAGAAACACTACACCGGTGGTCTGGTACAAGGCTCGGGCCACACTGATGCGCTGCTTCTGCCCCCCCGACAGGATCACCCCCTGAAGAAGAAGTACAAAAACAAAACTCAGAGGAATTATGGGTAATCTGGAGTCTGGAGTCGGGCTGGATACTGTTAAAAGATGGTGGTACAGAGAGAAAAGTTAAGGTACTACTGATTAGGGCATCGCAATCATAATTATAATTTCATTTGCTGCAGTTGTCAAATCACAAAGGTGGCAATTATTCTAATATAAAACAAAATACCCTGTCTTTTTACAAGAAAAATGTTCCTGTAGTTTACACCTCTACTTTATAATATGTTCTGAACGCAGGGGATTCCTCTTTTATGTTAAAGTACCTACGACAGGTTAGACTTTTATTTATATTTCAGATTTTTGCAAAAAGATTCAAACTTGTTTTCTCAATTTGGCCATTTTTTTTTGTCTCTTGCTATGTTTGCTTCTTATTTTGAATTTATTCTACAAGATCTTGTGAGACAAAATTGCCACAAGATCGAGCACAAAAAAGAAAAATTATCTTGTGAGATTTTTTTCCACGTGTTTACATTTAGATTAGACAAAAAAAGAGTTACATGTTGGTGAGTTATATCTCTTACAGTTCCAAAAAGCCGCACTAGAATGGAAACAAAACTATGAAATTAAGTAAATAACAAAATTAGAAGGCCAAAATTGGAAACTGAACCGTGAAATGTATATATATTTACGTTAAAATCTTGTTCTTGTGGACCCAGTTTCGTTTCTTGTCTCGTCTCGTGGAAATTTTGTCTCATCCCATCCCTAACATTTATATTTTTACCCTTTGCTATTATATTATATTATGATGTGTGAGATTCTGTGTCCAAATAATTTCCTTTGTGGATCAATAAAGTTAGTTTAAGTCTAACCTGGTTGGGAATCGTGACCTCGCACAAAGGAATTCAATAACTGAAGGTCCTCTAATGTACACAGACATTGTATCTGACCAAAACAAATATAAGAAAACACCTTTATTTTGTTTAAATAAAGAGTAAAATGTGTCGAACTTTTGGATAGAATTTTCCCTAGTGTGATAACTCTCTATTTATATGTTTTTTCCAAAGTATTTTAAAAATTTTCTTCGCAAATAATTTCTTGACTGGTGTAAAATTTGAAAAAAAAGTTATATTTACAATAGTTATAATCCTATCAGCAGGGATGTAATGATATCTAAATCTCTCGGTACGATATTATCACAATATGCATCTCGCGTTACGATACTTATTGCAATATTTGGAAGAGGCTGATATAATTGTAGATGGGACGCTTTTTTGCTTTTAAAATACCCTGACAAGATTTTGGTGTGAATTATTACCATGATAAACCCAAGAATTCAAGTAAAAAACATTTCTTCATGTTGTCTGCTCTGAAATGCATCATGGGATATGTAGTTTCCAATGTTTATAAGCAGTTGCTACTATAAAACCATGCATTTAAGCAAAGGAACTTGTGATTTGATATATTGTGACAGCCCACGATATTATTGTGAGACTTTTGACGTTACGACATCTCGATATTTCGGTTATTGTTAGATCCCTACCAATCAAACTAAATCAAAATTAGAGAATCAGTCAAGTCAAGTCATATGCATGTTAAGTATTTTGATAAATCACAATTTTAATGCAGTGTGTTATCCCCAAAAGTACCAAAAAATACTACAAAAAAGTTAGATAATAAAAAATATACAGTGGAAAAAGCGTCACATAACATAAAACTGTGGCATGACCCTGTTTCCAAACCTGAAATAGAGAGCTCCACGAGATTAAACTGCCTCTACAGTGCACACTCGTTCTGTTTGTAAAGATGACTAATGGTGTTTTGGTACAATATTCCTTGACTGGAGCCAAACAGGAGAAAGGGGAATAGAAAGGCGAGCTCTGTACCGACCCGCTCACCGATCTCTGTCTGGTCTCCCTGCGGAAGGATGTCAATGTCCGGCTGCAGGGAGCACGCGTCAATCACAGCTTTGTATCTGAGGGGACAAATATGAGACGGTCAAAGGCAACGAGAAACAACGCAGGTAAAACAAGTTAAAGGTGCACTGCGCAACTTTTCTGGTGGAGGCAAAACTGATTTAAAATGATGATATTATAACATTTACATATAAAAACTATACACCTAATGGCATGAAATGGTTAAAAATCATGAACACCTTTTTAATTACTGTGTGTACTGCGCAATTTGTCTCCATGGAGATGTTATAGCTTTGTCTAGAATGTTCCATGGTATGATGTTAAACAAATACATTTATCATTTCTTCATTACGTGTGTTTCTGTTGCTAAAAAATACAGTAATTCCTTCCGTAAATGGGCCGACTCTCCATAGATCTGACTTTTAATGTAGTGTAGTGCTGTAATGTGCTTGTCCATATAAGCTATACCGCGGAACATTCTAGACGAAGCAATAACATTTCTATTAGGGCTGGGTGTCATTAAGAAGTTGCCGATACGATACATATCTCGATACACAGGCCACAATACGATACATATCTCAATACATAGGCCATGATACGATACATATCTTGATACCCAGGCCACGATACGATACATATCTCGATACACAGGCCATGATACGATATACAGGCCACAATACGATGTATATCTCGATACGTAGATCACAATACGATACATATCTTGATACATAGATCACGATACGATACATATCTCGATACACAGGCCACAATACGATACATATTTCGATACACAGGCCACGATACGATACATATCTCGATACACAGGCCACGAAGCTAAATCAGGGCTGTGATACTAAAAGTCTTTGTTAAACCACTTCTTAGGCAAAGTGAATATGAAACACAAACACTTTAATCCTCAAAACAGTGAAAATGTCAAATGCAACAAAACTGCAGTGCTCTAACAAAATAATTAAGTAAAATATACCAAAAAATACTCTTGGCGATATATCGAAACAGAAGCCCATGATATTGATACTGTATTATGACATTAAATTATACAATATATCGATATTTCAATATTTTTACACACCCCTAATTTCCATGGAGACAAGCAGGTGGCGGACTCTGCACTAGAAATGTTACGCAGTGCACCTTTAATAATTAAAAAGGTGTTAGTGATGTTTAATTAACCATTTCATGTGATTAGACTGATTGTTTTAATAATTTTTTGCCTCAATCCAACAATTAAGGTAAATGCCAATTACATTTTTATACAGCTCTTTTCCACCTTCAGTGCACTTGAATCATTTGGATAATTTTTTTTTCAGATTGTAATTGCCGATCTCTTCTAATCTCTTCTAAACAAAACATAAAGTGTAGCTGTAGCTTTAAAATTACCACTTAATGACATCACAAGTTGGAAGAGAGCATTTTGAGCTTTTTGTTTAGCCGAATATAGGCCCTTTAATTTCTGCAGAATAGTTTTCAAGCTCCATGGCAACAGAGCTAAAGTGTCTATTAGACTTTCAATGAGTGCGTATACATGCACATCAGTAACCCGGTTATGATCGGGTTTTTTGAGTATCCCGGTTTCTTGATGGTGCATGTATACGCAGTAACCCGGTTTCAGTAACCCGGTTATGGCAGTATCCCGGTTATTAGAAACCGGGTTACTGTAGCTGGTTTATTCCGATAGTAACCGGGTTACTTGTGGCAGGTATACGCAGTACCCCGGTTACTGCAACATAAAGTTGAGTGCGCATGCGTCCAAAAGACACTTTACAGCCTTTCACCACAACAGTAGTCACATAAATAAATTGACCAACATAAATAAAGTGACCAAACGAGTGAAATGACGTAAAATAAAGAGCTGCGCTAAACCTGCACACGTACAATCTGCACTCGTACGACCTGCGCTCGTGTGATCGCTGAAAAGCTAAAACATGAACTATCTCCTATACACTATACGCACGAAACACACTTACCATCATTAGCGCCTCTTCTGTCACAGAAATAACACACATAATCCACAGAGTCGTGTCATTTAGTCCAAAAGAAACTGATCGCATCAGCGGCGCAAGGAGCGAGTTGTTTTTATCGCCGCTAACAGTTTATGCTAATTAGCCTGCGGTCTTAAGTTTCGTTTCTGTAAAACGTAAACAAATGTGATCACAGCTGAATTATATGATCAAACGGGCTGATGTAGCTCTATAGTCTTTATGGTTTATATGTTGTAAAGTTGAGTTTATTTATGCAGAAGATTTTAATGAAGAATCTGCACAGTGGATTGTGGGAGATCTCGTAACTCCTTAGCTTCTTATGCTAAAGGAGCTCACGGTTTGTATTTTTCCTGGTTTATGAAATTGATTTAAGTTAATTTTTGCGCCTGCGCATTTGTAAGATTATGTCAAGAAACCGGGATACTCCATTTGATCATGTATACGCGGATATGAGTATCCCGGTTTCTCAGTGCGCATGTATACGCAGTAACCCGAATACTGACATAACCGGGGTATGGCTAATAACCGGGTTACTGATGTGCATAATGATATTTTTATTAACAGTAAAAGCTGCAGTTTTATTCATGGGTTTCAGCTTCCTGTTTATATGTGATATTTTGGAGACTTTTACCCATTCAAAAGATATAATATTTTGTATTGAGTTGTTTATTGCTATGGGAACCGTAGACATTTATCACACTGAAACCCTTAGAGAGTAGTTTTTTTTAAGCTTTCATACACACACTTGCAGATGTGCATTGCTCTCCTCAGTCAATACCAATTTAGACCTGAGGTAATTCATTTGGACATTAGCACATTTAATTTACTCCAAGCCCCTGGGAGCAGAGGTCTGTGGGCCTTGTTCTGCTCTCATCTGACCACACTGAGGATTAAACATTGATCTCTGTCATTTCAACAAGACTCCCTGTGTGCCAAAAAGGCAGGTTTCATTACGATTGGCAAGTAGATAGAATATTGACTTAAAGGGCCCATTGTGGTATTTCCTGAACTATGTTATAATGCTGTTTCCTCATCAAAAACAAACCTGGAGTTGTGTTTTGTTTCATTCACACATGTTAACACACAAACCCTGCATATTTAGGTCCTTCTTTGCAAATGGAAATGGTGTGTTCGATTATCCATCTGACTCAGAGGTCCGAGGGCATTGCCTATCGACGCGAACTGACATGCCCCTTTTCTTCGAACGGCGCAACTCGGACCTCGGAACAACTCAGAGGAGACAGGGCAAGGAATCTTAGATAGAATCCAAGACGGCTGTGCCCAATGTTACGTTTAATTATGTTAAGTGTTTTCATTGTGTTTGGACCCTTTTATGGTTTTAATGACAGTTTCAGTCACTCGTATTACTGCAGAACCTTACTGCATCCACATTACTGCCTATAGCAAACATGTCAAACTCAGGTCCAAATTTGGCCCACGATATAATTATATTTGGCCCACGAGATCATATCAAATATGTATTAGCGCTGGCTTTATTTAAAATGTTTTTATTATTATATTTTATGCTTGTTCAATGTTTAAGCAAAACTATTATTAAACATTTATTTTAATAAGAAAAGGTTTAACATTACCGTATTTTCCGGGCTATTAGGCGCTCTGGATTATAAGATGCACTGTCATTAAATGGTCTATTTTCGAACGAATTTTTCACAAATAAACCGCACCGGACTTTAAACGAAACACAACAGTTGGATGGGTCAGTGGGACTTTGTTTGTTTGTCTTGTTCACGGTGACTCTGGGTTTTGTTCAGTTGTGGCGTGTAGGGAGGGTGCTGTCTGGGACCGCTGGATTGTCGGCGTGTTCGCAGCGACTCAGTTGTTCAGTTGTGTCTAGAATTGGCACATTGCACTCACTTTTTCGGTTCGTTCCTCCGTTCCTCGTCCGTGTGGAGTGATGAGTGTGTCTGTGGGTGTTTTTCGCTGCGCGGTCGCTGTGTGCTCCGTGTGTGTTTGCGTGCTCTGCGGGTGTTGCAGCTTTGTAGTTTACTGAAGTCGTGCTGGGACACCCGAGTGGGGCGCTCTGGCTTACGGGGAGCGCAGCCGTTTTTTGATGGGGTTAGAGGCTTAAGAGCGCACCTAATAGCACAGAAAATATGGTACATATCTCGAAAGAAGAGAAAACATGCAGATGTTGTTAAAAATTTTAAATAAATATTTAGTTTGGTCTACAACTTTTTAAGTTTTTAATTTCGTCCCTCTGTGAATTTGAGTTTGACACCCCTGGTCTATAGGGATTATAGTCAGTGCTGTGGCCTTGTTTCAGACAGGTGTTGCTAAACGTCCCTAGAGTCGCTAAGAGAAGATAAACAACAACAATAACAGCTTTCCGGTTGGAGTCCAGTGTGTTAACTATATCCATTCATACATACGGTCTATGCACGAAACATGACGTCATATCGGAGATCCGAGTGGGAGATGGATGGATAATCGAATGCACCAAAAGCACCCAGTTCTGCCTTCTGATTTCATGATACAGGAAGTGCTCCATTGTGTTTTTAAACTCCACACACCTTCACTAGAATCATTTTGATGATTTCAGTCCTGAAAATGCCCATCGCTACTGAACAAAATGTAAAAAATAACTTAAAAACTACTGCTTCATGACATCACAAGGTAGAACAGAGCATTTTGAGCTTTGGAGATGTAGACAGACAAATACTAAAGGATTCCTCATGTGTGAATGAAACAAAACACAACTCCAGGTCTGTTTTTGAGGAGGTAACAACATTACAACATGACATAAAACTTTAAACTCGTTCACTTACCTGGGTTTGATCATTGGCATCTCAAACGTGATATTTTCCACCACAGTTGTGTTCAACAGCCAAGGTTTTTGCGACGCGTACGCCACCGGGCCCCTTTTTCTATTATCCAAGAAAACACAAAACAGTGCAAATATAAGTCAGATAGAGCGTTCAAACAGCTAGGAATGATTTTTGGACTAAACCATGTAGGGTTATTATGTAATGACTCCCAACAGCTAATAGCTATTTGTCATGTAAACACTACAGACAAACACAGTGGAAAAAATTAGACGAAATTAACCATAACGGGAGCTGATAAAAATGTGAAAGTGTGAAAATGGGACTGAAGATCTTACCAGGGGAATATATTTGAGATGAGCGTTGCCATAGAGACAGACTGATGTGAAGGATGCTATTACACTTTGTTATGTTTACCTGATTTCACCATCGCCCGCTGCATCCCTGTCTGTGGGGCTGTGAAAAAAGAGTAAAGAGATAGTATTAGAGAAAAAAAACACATCATTTTGTAATCATTTAGTCAATCCTAACACACGCACACTGGCCCACATTCTCAGGGTTTGTCAAAAAGAGTGAAAATCAGATACTAATCGGTACTAAAACTAGAAAAGTCACATTCACAGGACAAAAATAAGCCTTTCCTGAAGCTTTAGAATGATCTTGAGCTGTATCAGAACAAGTATAAGAGCACACAGACTCGTATACGACCATGGACAACTGAGGGATTACACAGATATATGACCACATGGTAATATAAAAGAAAATACTAAGATTAAATGCTGAAAATCACATTCCATTGTCTAAATAGTAGGGATGTAACAATAACTGAAATATCGTGATATCGTATCGTCAAAGTTCTCACAGTAATATCGTGGACCATCACAATATATAGAGTTACAAGTCTCTTTGCTTAAATGAAGAGTTATGGTGCAGCAATAGTTAATAAAAAGACAGGGGGAACTACACAGACCAGGGGTGGGCAAACTACGGTCCGGGGGCCATCTTTAATCATCTTTAATCTTTTTAATCTGACCTGCCAAACTTGAATAATAATAATAATTTTCAGTGTTTTAAAAGTCATTTCAAAAAATACAGTAGGACTTGAAAGAGATATTTTCTTGTAATTCTTTGTAATGATTTTCAATCGTAGGATATTTCAATAACAGGATATATTTTCTACTTATCCCATGTAATTTTTTTCTCTTATGAGGTGGATTACCAAAAAACTCCATCCATCTGGCTCCTGGTCCGGCCCTTCTTTTTTTTTTTTTTTCTTTTTAATTTTAAAACCCTTTGTGGCCCATGCGTCAAAAAACTTGCCCACCCCTGACACAGACCACAGTGCAGACTACAAGAAGAAATAACAGATCTAAGGATTTTTAAGTCTTAGTTCTTTGGATTAAGTCTTGTCAAGGACTTTGTCAAGGATATTTTAAGAGGAAAAAGTAGCATATTATGAGTTTTGTTAGCCTCCACAAAATATTGCAGTACCTGGATATTGTTACATCCCTAGATGGGTGCAGCTAAATAAAAATGCTGATTTTTGTTGTATTTTATCTAGTGCTGTCATGCGATTAAAAAAATTGAGAGATTAATTAATTATGATCTGTAATTAATTAATCTAATTAATCTAATTTTAATCTCACCTAAAAATTGCTGAGAAAAGCCTTCAATTTGAGGTATTTTCATTTAAATTCATTATTACATTATTGTGGCAGATCAAAAGACTAATATAGATTTAAAAAAGTGACTTTATAAAGTCATTTATTGTTTAACAAATCTCTCCAAATTGGCTGTTGAGCCCAAGTCTCCATGACAAAACAGGGAGCAGACTGTTAGGATTAATGGCTGCTTCTCCTCACCAACCACTCTCAACACCGGCTCCCCCCAAGGCTGTGTCCTGAGCCCCCTGCTGTATACTCTGCTAACATATGACTGTGTGGCTTCTCACCCGACCTGTCAGATTGTTAAATTTGCAGATGACACTGCTGTTGTGGGTTTAATCTCGGAAAACAACGAGCAGGCATACAGACAGGAGGTACAGCTGTTGGAGACCTGGTGCAGAGAGAACAACCTCTGTCTGAACCTTTCAAAAACAAAAGAATTAATAGTGGATTTTAGGAGGAACAGCTGTTCACTGTCGCCTCTCTACATCATGGGCACAGAAGTTGAAAGGGTGTCCGGCTGGAAATACCTGGGTCTGCACATCACCGACAGCCTAACTTGGTCCACTAATGCAGCGAGCATTGTTAAGAAGGCCCACCAGCGTCTGTATTTTTTGAGGAGACTCAAGGCTGCTGGACTAGGCCTTCCTGCTCTCATGTCTTTTTATCGATGTGGAGTGGAAAGTGTGTTGACCCAGTCCATCACAGTGTGGTACGGCCACTGCTCAGCCCAGGACAGGAAAGCTCTACAGCTTGTGGTCAGAGCAGCAGAGAAGATCACTGGATGTGACTTTACACCCATCTGTGAAATTTATGAGGAGCATTGTAGAAGACGGGCCTCCAGGATCATGGGGGACCCCTCGCACCCCTCCCACCATCTGTTTGTTCCTCTGCCCTCTGGGAGGAGACTGAGGAGCATTAAAGCTAGAACTTCTCGGCTGAAGTTCAGCTTCTTTCCTGAGGCTGTCAGACTTTTGAACAGTGCACACTGACTTCCTGCTTTGGTTGCCTCTCTCTCTATCTTGCCACGTTTACTACTTGTTCATTGGAACTGCTAAATGTTGTTGTTTTAAATGTATTTATTTTTTTAACATTGCTTATTATTATTATTATTGTTTTTTATCTCTTTCTGTATCACTGGGCCTCGGGGAGCACATTTCGTTCTGTCATGTGTTTCTCTCACATGTTTGATTGACAAAATAAAGAACCTTGAACCTTGAATAAGAAACTAGTTTGCTGTAAAGTAGCAAAGACGAGGAAATCTGAACATAATAACTTTTGTCTACTTAAAGACAATAAAAAGTCCAGTCTTTCCTTAACCATATTAAAAATATAATTGATAGAGAAATGCTTTATATATGAGATCACTGGTTTTAGTCCTTGTTTTAGTCCTGGTTTAGACCTGCTTTAGTCCTAGTTTAGTCCTAGTTTAGTCCTGGAAAGGGTTAGTCCTGGTTTTAGTCCTGGTGTTAGCTCTGGTTTAGTCCTGGTTTAGTCCTGGTTTAGACCTGGTTTAGACCTGGTTTTAGTTCTGTTTTAGTTCTGGTTTAGTCCTGGTTTAGACCTGGTTTTAGTTCTGGTTTTAGTTCTGGTTTTAGTTCTGGTTTAGTCCTGGTTTAGTCCTGGTTTAGACCTGGTTTAGACCTGGTTTTAATTCTGGTTTTAGTTCTGGTTTTAGTTCTGGTTTAGACCTGGTTTTAGTTCTGGTTTTAGTTCTGGTTTAGTCCTGGTTTAGTCCTGGTTTAGACCTGGTTTAGTCCTGGTTTAGTCCTGGTTTTAGTCTTGCTGTTAGTTCTGGTTTAGAGGCGCACAGGAGCGGTTTACGCAGTGTACGCGAGAAAACACGATCCACACGAGGCTCACGGGAGCACGTTGGTGTCCGCGCAGTAACTACGGAAGGAAACGTGGTCCGCGCGTTCTGAGGTTAATGACGATGATGAAGGTGTGTGTTTGTGTTTGTGTGTGTTTGTGTTTGTGTGTGTTTGTGTGCGTGTCCCCTCATGTGGCAGGTCACTATAGGACAGTAGTGCAGACATCATGAGTCTATGCAGGTTGTTTTCATCAGTGACATTTAAGTTGTAGGCGATTTTATATTTTTTATTTTCTTTTATATTTCACCGTCGGGAGAATAATTTCCAAGACACGAATGTGTTTTTACCTGTGCACTGCTGCCTCTGTTCTACTGGCTCTTCGACCTCGTCCATTGTGCGACTAACGCCGCGAACGTTAACATGACGTTTACATCGCTCTTACTGCGCGCGTTTTGTGTGGGTTTCCGACAATGAGTGGAATTACCGAAATAAAAAAATGTATAAATGTGTTTTTTTTGTGTGTGTGTGTGTGTTGTTGTCCCAACAACAAATAAAAACAGGTTTTATAATAAAGCAACTCGCATACAGAAACAGTAAAGTTAGAGATTAACAATGAGATTAACGCGATTAAAAAACATAACGCGCTAAATATGACTGTAATTAATTAATCGCAATTAACGCGATAATTTGACACTCCTAATTTTATCAAGGTCATAGATAGAAATGATCAGGTTAAAGGTCCTATATTACACAAAACTGACTCTTGTGAGCTTTAAGTCATGTTATAAAGTTGTTACCTCATCAAAAACTGTATTCAGCCTCACACTTTATCACATTTTACTATATGTAATTTTATGTATTTTAGCATGTTAGTATGTGTGTGTGTCTGGGTTGTTTGGTTGTGTGGGGTCGGGCAGCTGTGGGGGTTGTGTAGTTGGATGGGTGAAAGGAAATGTGGGATTGTTTTTAATCACTGTAAAGCACTTTGTGTTACATTTTTATGTTTTCATACACTTTGTAAATAAAGTTTGATTGATTGATTGAAAAACATACCTGGATTTGTGTTTTGTTTCATTTGTTATTATCATTTGTGTACATTTCCAAAGCTCAAAATGTTCCACCTCATGAAATCATGAAGCGGTAGTTTTTAGGTTAACAGCTTTACTTATTTAATTTATTTAATGAGTCAGGGACAGTGCACAATTTTCACATTAACCTTAACAGGAGAGATGCATTGTACCAGTTTGTAGCACCAGTGCTAATTTCCAGTGTAATCCCTGGGCAGGTTCATTGATTAATTGTATTGAACAACCTTTAACTCCACACAGAAAGGCTCAGGCGACCCGAGGATTGAACCTGGAACCTTCTTGCTGTGAGGCATGAGCGCTGGAAACATGTGTGAATGAAACAAAACACAACTCCAGGTCTGTTTGTGTTGAGGAACAACATTATAACACAGAAAATAGAGTAATATGGGCCCTTTAAACATTTGTGGATTTACTTTTTTTTTTATTTTTTTTTTATTTTATTTATTCAGTTTTTCCAAGTTTTGTGTAATAAATAACAATCAAACAAACAAAAAAATACAACCAATACAAAGCTTGGGGCGCTGTTCCACTGCAATAAG